TGTAACTAGGGGCAAAATTTGCCTGTTATTTTAATTTTTGCTTTTAGTTCCAACCATAAGCACTTTCTCGCGACTGGTGCTTCTGCACTTATACCTTTTGCTTTTATCTGTTGGCTTATCTATCTAAATATTATTCCTGTGCAGAATATTTTCTCCTGATGATGATTGTGAGGTGATAGAATCAGAGAAACACTCCCATGTTTTTTACCAAGCTGAAGCAGATATATGGATGGTTCTGGTAATGGCTGTTCTTACATTAACAGTTCATCACTATTTGTTATAAACCAAATTGTTGTACTCTAGAGCCTCTTCAATTGGGTGTAGTTAAAAACAGCATGTAACCTTTGTCTGTCACCTATTGTCATTGAACAATATTTACTGGAAATCCTGAAAACATTCAAGAACCAAGAGTATTTCTAGTCTGCCACCAAAGTAAATTCTGTAACGAGAACATGGGCGTTCATACTCAAGCATACTATGCCTTCAGTCTCGCAGATAGTATAATGACCATTTTGGATTTCTTTATTTTTAACTGAAGAAGCTATGAGTTTGCTTCATAACACTTGTTCCTTTCCCAGCAAATTGTCTGTAAATCTTTTTTTGCACTTATAACTTGAATGATTATCATACTCATTTCCAGTGAAAACTTGTTCATGCATAGGTAGTGGAGAAAAACAAGGACATTGAGTCAACTTGGCGGTGTGGTGCATTGCAAGGAATTCTTAAAGAGGTTCACTCGCTTTTCACAATGTTCCACGGACCAATTCGAACTTTACTTGACAGGCAACCCAGTGCAGAACTTGCCCGTGGTCACCTTCGCACATTTTTCACAGATTATTTAAGTGGTGAGTCTCGTTTCCATTCATATTGTGTATAACATGAGCGCAACATTGCCCTTTAAAGAAATATACATTTGGTCTTCATGAACATGTTCTTGAGCAGATTTTAATGCTGGTAAAAAGATACAATTGCCAACCTTCCGTGATTGCCTAAAGGAGCGAGGAACTGTCCAAATGCTAACAATCTCACGAGAAGTGGCACTTGAAGTTCAGGTAGGAAATGTACTCTTCAAACATGAAAGACCTCCTAGTTACAGAAATATAACTGTAGTACCTTTTGATCTTTTCAGGGTACATGATAGTTGTCTCTTGCTTTTATAATTATTGCTTGTGTGAAATATGTTATTTTTCTTGCTAGCGGCCTGTTATTTATGTCCTGTCCAGAGTTGTAGTCTGGTTTTCAGATTATGAGATCGGCGTTTTCTTGAGGGTCTAGTAGTCATTTTCGAAGGTAGCTAATGATGTTATAGGCTTAAAAACGGTTGCTCTGTTGTACTTGTAGGAGTATGTACTTATGCAGAAGCCTGCTTTCCGAGGGGGAGAACTTTTGGAATCAACTCTCACAACTTAACTACCCCTAGATAGCTATTGTCTCACTGTTATAGTGTTATGAAGCTGTGCTTAAAGTACTGTCTAAAGTCATCTTGACTCTGATAATTACATAGATTTGTTTTCTCTGTTTCAACTATTGATGCATGAATATTTGCAGTCACTCACCACAGTTCTTGGGTCATGTCTTGGAAATGTCATGTGCCAATCACTTGTATTATTTGAAGATCTCTTGGTGTCCACAACACTTCCACCGGTACGGGGTCTCCCTTTAATCATCACTTCTTTTATAACTTTGTTTTCTTTGATGGCTTTGAGCAGTTCCCATGTGATTAATGTAGTTTTACCACTTTGTAGGATGATACACTAAACCTATATACTTATGCTATCTTGAGGTTAACTCCTCGTGCTTTATTGTCCAATGCAACTTCCTGGTCCTATCTGCGGAAAGGAACTTCGGTTCATGCTGGCCCCACTTCTAGTTCATCAAATGGAACAGCTTCAGTAGAAAGGTATCGTAGTCGATCTCGTGATACTTCTCCTGGTGGACAAAATCAGATGCATCATTATTTCAGGCCTCTCCAGCGTGAGAAACTATACAAAGGAAAGGATGGTTTTGTTGCCGCTGGTTCCACTACTTCAGAAGTTCGTGGTGCTGTGGCTTGGGTTCCCATACTGTGGTTCCAGCAGGCAGAAGACCGCATGCATCTCTGTGTTTATCAGCACAAGAACATAACCATTCTGCTACTGATTCCAGCTTCATCTCTAATAAATGGAGATGATGGCATTGCTCATGTGAAGAGACATCTTCTTGAAAATGTGAGTGGCCCTTGCATAATTTCCACCCTTTTCATGATTTCTTGATGCGGTACTGAGCTCAAGCAGGCCATGTTGAATGAAAATAAGAAATATTCTCATGTCTGGTGTGGCTTGCAAAATATTGATACTGTGGTTGTGAACACATGCTCATTTTTTTATATTTATATTGCAGGCATCACAGAACATTGTGACTCTGGAGCTGAAATTATCACGAGGATGGGGAGGAGAAAATGCTTATCATGTTGGTGGATATCGCTACTTACTTGTTGATCCAGATAGAAAAGTATCAAGAGCCTCCCCACCTGGGAAAGTCACCACCCTCTCAAAGGTTTGTTCTGTTGCATACTTGCATATAGAGTAAACATACGATGTTTCCTACAATATGTGTTAATGGTTCTGTTCTTCTCTTCACCTCAATATTTCCATAAATTTTAGATCCTAAAGATTGTTAATGTTGGTCTGTTTTTGTAGACTAATATGTTTTAGATGATCAATTCGTATCTCCTGTTCATTTCTTCCTCACTATTGTTCTTCGGTTGCAATTTTACGTTTTTGTGTTGAATTGGATTGCCATGCATTTCTTTTAACCGTGCTCTGCAATGAAATCATGCAGGATTCTCTACTTTCCTTGAATAGACTAAGAGAAGAAATAGATTTGGAGAAGTCAAGGGCCAAGAGGTCTGACTCTTGTCATGACAAGGATTTTGAAGTATGCATCAGAGCCAAAAATAATGCATGGGTCATTGCTAAAGTTACCCGAGGAAGAGAACTTTATATGGCGTTAGAGAAGGCTGGTGAAACACTTCTTTATGCATCTACTGCCATCGAGAAGTTTAGCAACAGGTATATTTACTCAATACCTTGTAAGGTCATGTTCGGTAAATCCCTAGGTGGGGGGAATGGAGGGGATTTATTCCACACCTATTGTGATGTGGAATTATTCCCTCTCAATCCCCTCCGATCCTCTTCAATCCCCATCAAACTGAATAAGGCCTAAAGGGGCAGAAGCATATCTTACCACATTATATGACCAGCTTTGGTTTACTGTGACCACTTGAGTTATAATTCCACTGTCATGCATTAACCGCCTAAACGTGGTATATCTCAATATCTTGTAAAGGGGCAGAAGCATATCTTACCACATTATATGACCAGCTTTGGTTACTTTGATCACCTGAGTTATAATAGTTCCATTATCACGCATTGGCCTAACCGCGTAAACATGCTTTCGATTTTTCTAACGATTGCCTTCCTCTCTCAGGTACTGTGAAGGAGCATTCTCTACAGACTAGAACACCGAAATGACAACGATTGTTTTATCCAAACCACTCACCTATCCAGCTTCGTCATTTAGGCTGTGCGGCTCGCTCCCTCATGGTGTCGTGAATATGGATCTTGTTATTTTGAAGAGATTCGTACATGTTGTACAGCTGCCATGTTGTTGCCTTTCTATGCATACAAAACAAATAGCTTCGTCAGAGAACAATACAGCGCAGGAAACAGTCAGTTTCCCCTGCCCTGCGCTCCGACGTCCTTCCAGTTCCAGATTCGACCATCTTAATTTGTTTGTTGTATATTCTGACGATGGACCTGCTGACTTATGTAGTAGTTCATTCGATTGCTTCGATATCTATGTTTCAATTCAGTTTGTTGTTGTGATTTGCGTAACTTATACCCAGAGTGATTGATTTCCTGGGGGATTTGAAGATGTGCCAGAAAGAACGTGGGATGCTCACCGGGAAGAGATCATGAGAATGGTTAGAAAACTATAGGTAAGATGAGATTCTTTGGACACAGTAAAGCCGAGTGTTCAGAGACAAAGATAGGAAATAAACATGTTGATGAAAAAAGAATCAATACAAACCAAAAAATAGCTGATTGCTTGAAAGCGTTCATAGAGAAACGTAATGATGAAAATCAATACAAAAAAAATGGCAAAAATATTCTACAAAACCGATTGCTCATCCGGGGAATCGAACCCCGGTCAGTACCGTGGGAGGGTACTATGATACCACTACACCAGATGCGCTTTCTGTCATCGTTCTGAAAATTTAGGTATATGATGATATAATTTCCCGGTGAGCGAACGAAGATAACTGAGGGCTTTGATCACTTTCTTATCAAAATCAACGTTACTAAAATTTTGTAATATCAAATTTCGATATATTTTAATGTTATCGAATTTTTGTAGTGTTGATTGTATTTGTCTTAAAGTCTTACCAATTTTTCATAGAGTATCTAGGAGAGAATCTTTCGAAATTACCAACATTTAAGTAGGGTACAAATGGTAAAGTTATATTTAACTTTTTTTAATTACCCATATATACGGCATGTTTGGTTGGAGGGAGTTTTAAAAGGGATTGAGAGTTTAGAGGGATGATACTATTAAGTGTTTTGTTTGGAACTTCCTCCTTTTCAATATCTGGTAGGGGTAGGTAATTGGGAAGGAATTCCTCATTTACTTTATCTAAGCAAATATCAATTATCCGTTTTTATTAATGATCTAATCTCTAACTAAACTCCCTATCAATTTCCATCACCTCTACCAAATAAGATATTGAGATTAAAAATTAAATTCACATCTTAATCTTATCATCAATTCACTCATATAAATTTCCAATCCTCTTCGCTCAAATTCCAAACAACAAGCTATGAGCGCTGGGGGCGTCTATGGGAGCAGTCACCTAACATGTGGACCCTATATCGCCACGTCCTAATTAACCCAGGCGGCCAGGTGGGCCCCACGCCTAGGCCAAAACCCACTTACATCTGGGCCCCACCCTCGCCTCTCCCGGCGCGCGAAACCAGACCATCGCACCGTCCACCACCAGTCTCGTAGCATCGTGGCGCCGCACCGCGCCGTCTCCCTCTCTCTCTCTCTCTCTCTCTTCCCCTTCCTCCCCTGAAACCTAACGCGCCACCGCCACCGCCGCCGCCGCCTCCCTCTCCCAAATCTTCGCCGGGAATCGCGACGATCAAGCCACGAGGATCGCTGCTGCTGCTGCAGCAGCTTTGCCTGTGCTTAACGCCCAGGTATAATGCGGACCAGGAGCCAGCGCGACGGCCACCACGCCGCCGCCGCTGCCGAAACCCCGCCTTCCGGTTCGTCTCCGGCCGCCCGCCGTGCCGCCGAAATCCACCCCCCCTCCCCCCCCCCCAATCCTGTTCCCACGAACCCCGCCTCCGTCATCTTCCCAACTGAAACCGGTGTTTGTTCGTCCCGCAGGGGCAAGCGGAGGATCAGGAGGGGACGTTGCGAGGGGCGGTGGCACGCCTCGCCGTCGCCGGAGGGCTTCGCCGGCCGCGGAGAAAGGGAAGTCGCCCGCCAAGGTAAATTAAATTAAATCGGTGTTTGTGAAGGACTAAAGGCTCTGTGCTTGATTTCCTCATTGCGACAAGTCGAGAACTATTTTACCATCTGTGGCTTGTTCAGGAACTTCGGGCTCTAAATGTTCCTTGTGGTTAAGCGCGATTGTTCGACATATGTTCACATTGTATGACTTCAAACTCGCTAAACTAGTAAAATTGATCAAAAATGCTCTGGGTCCTTATTATTTATTCAAGTCTAAGTTTTGCACTCTTAAGGAGTGTAATTGAGTCGGAAGCATATGTCAAAAGGATGCCAAATAATTACTATAGAATGCATTGATTTTGAGACAAAAAAATAAACCAACTCGATGTGTTGAATCATGGATAGGTTCTGGCTTAGGACTCTGAAGGTTTAATGATGTTGGTGGATTTTAAGTATTACTCCTAGCTGATAGGGCTCAACTGCTATTGTCTCTTCAGGTGGAAATGGAATCGGCATTGGAGGATAAAAGTAAAAACGTTAAGGTCCATGCAGAGGGTTATGACGATGCCGGGATGACGAGGTTCGGTAGGGATGGCTCTGAAAAGAACAGTTTGGAGGAAGAAGATCCAGATGCAGCTGATATGGACTGGGAAGAAGGGATTGTTTTCGCGGCGGAACACGATGAGTGTTATTCCCATGAGCTTGGAGAGACAGTCACCGTTGAGTTCACTGATCTACCCTCTTCCACTGAAAAGAAGACTGCTCGGAGGCTTACTGCTGAAGAAAAGGTAAAATATTTCTTGAGAGAAATTTTCAGTTAAGGCGTCTGACACAGATGAGCTCATGGACATTTGCATTAAGTTTATAACCTGTTACTATAAGTCTAATTTTATCGTTGAAAATTTTTTTATAAAAAAATTCTATTTGCCTTCTAAGAGTTTCCTGGCGCCAGCTCATTTGCCAAGTTGTATGTAATGCTCAGGAGTTTCGTCACAAGCTTTGGACCATATCTAAAAGAGTCACTGCCTTTTCCTTTCTTGTGTGCTTTAAATATCTTTGTTATCTTTGAATTTTGACCTGTTAGTTTTATTTCTGATTATCCAGGAGTTGGCTGAACTCGTGCACAGGGTCCATTTGCTTTGCCTACTAGCAAGGGGTAGGGTAATTGACAAGGCTTGCAATGATCCTCTGATTCAGGTGCGAGCATTACAGTGGTATTCATTATTTCATTTACACCAGATTCTGTATTTCTCATGTTCCAAAATGATGAAGTGGCATTATGATTTATGAATCATAGTGGTTAAAACAGAGGTGTGTTTCAAACAGAATTGTGTCAATATTCTTTGAAATGTTCTTTCCAGGCTTCAATTCTCTCTGTTTTACCACAACATGTACTACGGAATTCTGTAGACACTCCAATTCTGAAAGCTAATGAACTGCGTAGTCTTGTGAGCTGGGTAAGTCCCCTTCATATATTATTTTATTGACTAAAAATGTGAAGTTTTATGAAATAGTAGTTTTTAGATGAAATCTTTTAATTTGCATTTATTTGTCTGCAGTTCCACAACACTTTCAGTGTAATTGCACAATCCGACGACAAGGGGTCTTTTAAATCAAATTTGGCATTTGCTCTTCAAAGTTATGTAGGCACTGCTGAAGAGGTATCATCTTCTCCCTGAAGATTATGCTGTGAAACAAATCTGCTGTCTTTATTTCAGCAAACTTATTTTTCTTATTCATGTTTCTCAGATTTGGAAAACCTAAAAAGTGAATAAGAGTTGTCATATTTCAATGCCCCAAAATATGTTTTCCATTGAGATTTGATATGGATTGTCAATGTCTACTTCATTTCTTTTGGAAAAAAAAACAATCTTTAGTTGCCACTGAAAGTTGACACCATTGGTTATGTGCCGTCAGGAAACTTGGTCTCCCTTCATTGTCACCCCTAAATATTGTTCTGTTATTTCTATTGTCGTCTGCCCTTTTAGGTAAGGTTGCCACCAACATATAAAATACTGTCAGTTTTTTTTTCTTTTTGGGGCCAAAATAGAAGGACGAGAGACTCCAGCAGCTCGGTATGCGCATGCCAAGTTGGTGGCATAGAGTGTTCCATCAGTAACTGTGCACAAAACACCAAAGGCCTACCGACATGACTCTTGCCTATAGTGGTCATGAGTTACGCACCATGCAGTAACACTACCAAAGGAAAGCAAGAGATACATTCACAGGTCGACGGTCGACCAGTCTTCTCACCTTGGAACGAGGGAGAATAGGGATGCATTAACAAGCTGATCAGTCCTAGGGCCATCAAACGCATGGTGCAGGTGTGCTTTCTCATGGCGTGAACAGGTTTCAGTGCACAAACATTGAAACCAATAAGCATACGAGGTAGAATGCGTCATGAGGAGTACTGTGTAGTTGTCAGTGGGAATCAACTATCCTTTTGCAATTCCAGTGAGGAAATGCTCTGAAACAAATATGGTAAAATGATTGCTTTAGGTAAAGAAATATGGGTATGGGAACACATCTTTACGCTGCTGAAATTGTTCTTGGACCCCTGGTGCTCCGGTTCTCAATGGGGAAGATAATGATGGAGAGGTTCCTTGATGTCACAATGGAAGGAGGATGGAGCCAGTGCACCTGGAGTGACCATGACTACCTTGACTCCTTTTTGGCTGGAGAAGATGCAGAACTGTCTTTTTTTTTTGTGGACCACTTAACAGCAAACTTATACAGGACTGTCGAGTGGCAAATAAGGTAACAAAACTCTGAAGGAGTAGCAATGAAGGGAGAACTTTTCCTATGGCATATAAGGTATAATGTCAACTTTCAGTCTTTCAATGGCAAATAAAAAATCTCCTCTTTTGTAAAACAAGACGCTATTTCTGTTTAAAGCTGCCAAATAATTCGTTTGCAATGCAGGTTTGTGCACTTTCAGTGGCATTGTTTAGGGCTCTCAACTTAACAGCTAGGTATGGATTTCACTCTGTAATTAGTTTTATGATTGATTCCATCCATTCCAGAACGTTAGCATAAAAAATCCATAAATCATTTTGCAATCCATTCTCGTCGAATGCTGTTTGCTTTTGTTCCACGCAGGTTTATAATTATAGTAAACAGTTTCCATGATATGTATTATATGTTTAATTCCGTGGTGAAAACTGGATTTTCTGATCTCTTCCAGAGAATAGATTTCTTCTTTTTCTTTGTTCTGATAAAAAAAAAGAATTTGTCATATTCTAAAGAAGTGGTTCAGTAGAATGGACTCTTAACTAACTTTCAATAAACTACAGTTTGATAAAATCCTCGGGTGCTTGGGTTAGAATAGTTGATATTACTCCTCCCCAGACTGATTTATTTTTTTTTCTTCCTATCGAACTTCCCATAAAGATCAAGGAAATTTCAATTGTAAGACCATCTATTATAGTTAGTAAAAGCGCATATAAAGGTTCATTATGTTGTCCTGTGGTTTTGTTCGATAACCTTCTGAACCAATTCTAAGTATAGCTTCCCTTCTAGGTTTGTTGCGAATCTGGATGTTGCTGGTCTCAAGCCTGACACTAAATCAATGGGGACATCAAATCAGGATGAACCTAGGCTTTGTACAAAGGCGCTGCCATCTAGTTCTTTTGTTGCAGGCCATAATGAGTATAATAACCTTTCACCTGTCCTGTCACAAAACAATACTGAAGGTAGCATCAATACAACTCCAAAACAAGTCAAAGTTCAAGGCTGCAGGAAAAGTTTGTCTAAAAAATTGTCGAAGTGCAAGGCAAATCAGAGAGATAGCTCTGCATCACTATCAAAAGATAGCTCATCCAGCAGCCAATATCCTTCCACCTCCAGTAATGCTGAAGTACCAAGACGAAAAGGGGATTTGGAATTTGAGTTGCAGCTGGAAATGGCTCTTTTAGCATCTGCAGCTAAAAGTCAAGACAACAAGCTAGCAACTCAATTAAATCAGTCAACTGATAGCTTACTAAGTTCAACTCCACCATTGAAGAAGTTACGAAAAAGTGAAGAAGCCTCAAGCAACTCGAGCGTGGTTTGGTCGAGGAATAGAGCACCGTTATTTTGGGCTGAGGTATTTTGTGGTGGCGAGGCATCGTCTGGAAGATGGGTCCATGTTGATGTTGCAAATGATATTATTGATGGTGAACAAAAAGTAGAAGCTGCTTCCGCTGTTTGCAGGAAGCCTTTGAGATATGTTGTTGCCTTTGCTGGAAATGGTGCTAAAGATGTGACCAGAAGGTTTACCTCTTTCATAATTCCTAACTTAGTAGCTATATAGAATCATGAGGATATATTCTTTGCTTTTGGAAATTTGTAAAAGAACTGGTTTGAGAACTGTGTTCTATATTTTCCTAGGTATTGCCTGCAATGGCACAGAATTGTTCAGGGGAGAGTGAATCCTGAGTGGTGGAAAAGTGTTTTGGCACCCCTAGAGCGTCTTGAATTGGCAGCAACGAACAACACTGAAGAAATGGAACTTCAGACCAGGGCCTTAACAGAGCCTCTTCCTACCAATCAACAGGCAATGCACTTACTGAGTTTACGATATTGGTTAACTTCTAGTTATGCCTTTTGCTTCTTTCAAAGGTTGCCTGTTGGCTTTTCTAATTATTTATGTAACCATAACCACTTAGGCCTACAAAGACCATCATCTATATGCCCTTGAGAAGTGGCTTCACAAGAACCAAGTTCTTCACCCCAAAGGCCCAGTGCTTGGCTTCTGTAAAGGGAATCCTGTTTATCCTAGATCTTGTGTTCAGACACTGCAATCAAGACATGGATGGTTGCGGGAGGGTCTGCAAGTCAGAGAAAATGAGTTGCCTGCAAAGGTTCATAATAGAATCACAGCGCTAGCAGTTTTTTTCTGTCTTCATGTGAAGTAACCATTTTTCTGTACACAGGTCGTGACGCGGCCAAAGAGGACTTTCAATTCTCAGTCAATTCAATCTAATAGTAATAGTAATGAAGATGGGCTTAAGCCAACCATGGAACTATATGGTAAATGGCAGCTGGAACCGCTGCAACTTCCCCATGCAGTAAATGGTATTGTACCAAAGGTAGACCTCCTTGATTATGACTATTGATTTTCATTAGGTAGCTATCAGTGCTTATTTTGTGGTGTTCCATGCTGATTAAATGCTAAAATATGTCCAAGAATGAGCGTGGTCAAGTCGATGTGTGGTCAGAGAAATGTCTTCCGCCTGGTACTGTACACCTGAGGTTACCAAGAATATTCCAGGTCGCAAAGAGACTTGGAATTGATTTTGCCCCAGCCATGGTTGGATTTGATTATCGAAACACCCGGTGCCTTCCAGTTTTTGATGGAATTGTTGTCTGTTCCGAATTCAAAAATACTATCTTAGAGGTATGCTGAGTACTTGATTTATTTTTCAAAATTCTGGTCCCATTCATCCTGCTGTCTACAATTTTAGTCGGATCCTTTATGCAATCTGATGTGGATGTTTAATTAGGTAAAATTATTAACAATCTTTAACAATCACAAATTAGCCCAAACCTGTTAGCACCTTAGTCAAAAGTGTGTGCTTGAAAGGTATTTGCACACTTTGTAAATATTTTTATTTTGTTTTCTTCCCCTTGATGAAATGAAATGCAGTTCTCTCGTTTTCGAGAAAAAAAAAGGTATTTGCATAAGCATGTTTCATAATAGCGCTTAACTCATTGTTGAGCATGTCTCATTATAATGCACTCAATGTTATGGAAAGTAGTGTAATGATCAAGAGTAGAATTGTTATATTCATGTATATGCTAGAGGTAGTGATGGTATTATAGTCTCTAGGTTCCTGTACTCTCTTGCGTAACAAGAACTAACAGGGAAAATTGCTCAGTAACACTAATCACTCGAGTTAGAAAATAACATCGATGTGTCACTGTCATGTAGGCCTAGGGCCAAAGCTAATTCTCCTAGTTTCATCAGGTACATACAAAGCTAGCTCTATAGTTGGTCTAACTTACTCCTACGCTTTCTGCCAGGCATATGCAGAACAAGAGGAACGGAGACAAGCCGAGGAGAGGAAGCAGGAGGAAGCTCAGGCTCTTATTAGGTGGTATCAGCTGCTGTGTTCCGTCGTAACCACACAGCGGTTGAAGGACTCTTACAAAGCACCCTCATCAGAGCACGGACCAGAAGGACCATCCCAAGATGTTAGTCAGCAGAAGGGCACACGCAAAAGTCGAAGCTCGGAAACGAAGACTCGCTCAAGCAGACTACAGGCGGACCGACCATTTGATTCTCCTTTTCCTGTCCATGACCATGAGCATGAGTATCCAGAGGAAGATCAGAGCTTCGACGAAGAGACGTTTGTGAGGACGAAACGCTGTCCATGTGGTTTTTCAATCCAAGTTGAGGAATTGTAGCAAAATGATATCAGAAATGCACTAACTTAAGGTGTAGCCTGTTTTTGGTCCCAGGTGAACTCTCAAAACTATGGTAGCTGTGATGCTTCTGACGAATGCAGGTTTTGATGCATTTGTCTTGAGTTGGGAGTTAAGAGTGAGTTTGCTAAACCCATAGTTCAGCTGTTGCACTGAAATGAGGTGTTGAAAGTTGAAGCTGATGGTATGAAATGTAGTGGGTGTTAAAACTGTTAACAGTATATGCTTGTTTAAGTTTCAGCATAGTGCCATCACGCTAAGATTTTATCAAACTAATGTTGAGTTTGCCAGTTATTTCTTTTACCTCTTCACTGCTAAACTTGATTAAATTTCTATCACCAACTTTATTGCATTCACATGTTGAGAAAGAATCTCAGGGAATTTGAGAATAATGAAATAAACAATCCAATCCAACGTCAACAGTGTGTGACCTTATGACACTGCAGAATCGGCAGCCAGGAACAGTAGAGGAAATGGAACAACAACAAATTTGGCAATGTCTCCTTACTGAAAGGGAACTCGAGGGAAACCGTGGACGCCGCACGCCGGCCCGGCTCGCCGCCGGTCACGCCGACATGCTCCGGCTGCCGTCCGTGCTGCCGGAGTCGGCGTTCCGGCACGCGTCCTCGACGATGCGCTCGATCCGCGCCTCCACCTCGGCCATGGCCGGCCGCCGGTCGGGGTGGTGCTCGGTGCACTCCATGCCCAGCTGCAGCAGCCGCATCATCTCCCCCTCGGTGCGCGCCTCGTTGCCGATGGCGGCGTCGAACACCTCCGACGTCCACTCCTCCTGCACCACCGACCGCATCCACCGCGGCAGGTCGACGGCGGCGCCGCCGTCCGGCGTCGCGTCGAGCGGCGGCCGGCCGCTGAGCAGCTCGAGCAGCAGCACGCCGAAGCTGTACACGTCGGCGCTCTGCGACACGCGCCGCGCGTCGACCACCTCCGGCGCGCGGTACCCCGCGCCCCGCTTCGTAGTCGGCGGCGCCGCCGCGCCGCCGACGAGCTGGGCCAGGCCGTAGTCGGTGACGTAGGCGGCGTCCCGTGTCGCGGTGACGACGACGTTGGACGACTTGATGTCGCCGTGCGATGAGATTGGCCCTCCGCGGTGGATGAACGCCACGCCGCGCGCCACCGCCAGCGCGATGCGCGCCCGCGCCGCGAAGTCCAGCTTCTCGCCGTTGCCTACATAAACATCAATCAAATCTTATATGAAGTTACTATTCAGGAAACGTATTGACTCCAACTTTAAACACAACTACAAAAGTGTGACATGAAAAAAAATACTCCCTCCATCATAAAATATAATAATTTTTAGCCTTCAGAATTTATTCTAAAATTTATAACAACTTTTCTACCAACATTTTCTTCACAACCAATCACAACCCTCCACCATTCATTTTTCTCACCTACCTCAACTACTCATCCAATCACAACCCTCCACCACTTACTTATACCTACTTTCTTAATAACCGTGTCCAACCTTAAAACTTCTTATATTCTGGAACGGATGGAGTACTAAATACTATGTGACGGAGCATAAAGACAGCGGCCATATGGATATTTATCAACTTCATGTGCAGATTTACAAATAGATTTGAATAAATGTTTGTCTTTATTTTGTGTTAGGGTTATTAGTTATTGTTTACTACTTATTTTTCTGGTTTATATATGCTCTCTATTGAGTGAAATAATAAGAGCCCTTTGAATCGCAGGAATGAAAAAAAAATAGGAAATGTGCATGATTTTAATAGGAAGGTAAATACAAAACAAATGATTGCAAAATATAAGAAAAATATAGGAATAACCGTTTGATTGGACTCATAAAAAATACAGGAATGGGATGAGAGATATAGACTCAAAAGAAAAATTTTTAAGAGGTTAGAGCTCTTACTAAATTTCCTCCAAAATCCATATAAGATTGTCCATTCCATAGAAGTTTCAAAGAATAAGATAGGGTTCAATCATTTATTTCAAATACCTTCATGGAAATTTTTTTTATAGAATTAAAATCCTCCAAAATTCTTATGTTTTTCCGCCAAACCCATAATCTCTTTATAAGCAAAAGACCGTGTTTCTTTCGCTGCACGAAGAGAAGTGAGAAGGCGAGGTGATGTGATGAACGAACCGTGGAGGAGGGCGGCGAGGCTGCCTGCGCCGACGACGAACTCGTAGACGAGGAGCTTCTCCTCCCTGCTGTAGAAGTAGGCGAGGAGGCGCGGCAGGCTGTCGTGGCTGACGGCGCCGATGGCCGCGACGCGGTCCCGGAACTCGCGCTCCGAGAGGCTCACCTCGCGCAGCCGCTTCACGGCGAGCACCGGCTCGCCGCCGTCGAGCGTCGCGCGGTACGTCGTCCCAGCCGCGCCCTTGCCGACCACCTCGGCCGACGCGCGCAGCAGCGTGTCCAGGTCGTACGGCCGCTCCGGCGCGCCGCCGACGAACACCAGCTTGGTGCTGCCTTCGCCCGGCGGCGGCGGCGAGTGCGACTGCTTGACGGCGGCGTCCATGTCCGTCCTCGCCACGGTCACCGTGATGGGCTCCGCCACGTCGTGGGCGGCCGCCGCGGCGGCGGTGCTCCGACTCCGTGGCGCCGTCGCCCGGCGCCGGAAGCACGCCAAGAACCCCACGGTGAGCGCGACGACGAGCGCGGCCACGGCGCCGAGGACGATGCCGATGATCGCGCCACGGGAGAGCTTTCCGCCGCCCTTGCTGTCCCCGGGCGGCGACGGCGGCGTCGGCGAGGGGTTGGCGCACGGGGCGAGCGGGGCGCCGCAGAGCGACGTGCCGAGGAAGGCGCTCGCCGGCATCCCGGCGAGCGACGCCGGCACGGCGCCACCGAGCTGGCCATTGTACGACACGTTGAACCGCGCGAGGTTCGGCAGCGTCAGGTTACCGGGGAGCGTGCCATCGAAGCCGTTGCGGTCGAGGTTCAGCGTGGTCAGGCTCGCGAGCCGGCTGAACTCCGGCGAGACGCCGCCGGTGAGGCGGTTCCCGGAGAGGTCCACCTTCTCGAGCAGCGCCAGCGAGAAGAGCCCCTCCGGCAACCCGCCGGCGAGCCGGTTCCCGGAGAGGTTCAGCGACCGGAGCTGGACGCAGCCGCCGATGTCCGCGGGGATCCCGCCGGATATCGCGTTCATCCGGAGCGACAGCGTCCGCAGCGCGGTGAGGTTGCCGACCGTGCCCACGGGCACCGCTCCTCTCAGGCTCTTCCCGGGGAGCCGGAGCTCGGTGACGCGGTCGCCGGAGGCGGAGCACCCGACGCCGCGCCACGCGCCGCCGCACGGCGTGGGCGCCGAGGGGTCCCACGGCAGGTGCCGCCCCCCCACCGCGTCCCGCAGCGCCAGCAGCGCCGCGCGGTCGCCCGCCATGTCGGCCGCCGCCGCGCGCGCGACGAGCACCAGCAGCAGCAGCAGCAGCAGGACGTCGCGGCGTCGCCCGGACGACGCCATGGCGAAGCGAGAGCGCGCGAGGAAGGCGGAGGATGCTGTGCTGGGTAAGGGATTTATGGGCGGGCGAAGAAGGCGGCGCGCGCGCGCGCGCGGCGGCGAGAGAGCTTAGGTTTCTCCATTTGGAAGAGCTCGGTTTTTGTCCAGCTCGATTGATCGCCATGCGCGCAGCTGGCATGCACACGCATAGCATCGTGGACGACGACGTCGTCGGGTGGTGAGGTGAAAGAACTGAGGCGGCGGGTTTGGAAGGCAGCGAGCGAGCGGCGGCGAGGAAGAGCGACGCCGTCAATGGCGCCGGCGACGGCCGGCCGGCCGGCGAGCAGATTGGGCCCGACATAGCATGCTGAAATAAGCCCATTGATTTGATGTGACTGCCCAAACGTAGCATTAGGCCCATGATAATTAATACAGTACTCCGTATTAAATTTCCAAATTTGAGGTTGCCCATTTTTTTCTTTAGTGAAATGGAACAGTAAGACAATTAACTTTGTTGCCGCAACGCGATCAATGTTTGTTGATATGCATTTCACAAATGGTTACCAAGCCAAACATGTGGGTTTTTTTTGTTTGTTTTTTTTAACATGTTTGATTCAGATTATTGAGTAATAGAATTATACAAAACACAATACTGAGTAGAAGAAAGTTTTCTGATAAAATGTATTTTTCCGAATCGAGGAGCAAACAATCCATTTCAATTATCTAAATAATCCGAAAGGAACGAGGACTTTACCGTTGAGCTGTCGTGTATTCATGTGGTTCCTAAAGCAAACATTAAAATTCCTCGTAAGTAGTAGTAGTATTAGTATGTCTGCATGCATAAACAATAGGAATGGAAAGATACCGCTAAAAGTTTTTCCGAATGTGAAAACAATAAGTATCTTTTTTAAAAAATAGAATGATAAGTAAATTAAAATGGAGGGAGTACTTTCTGAAAGTTCCTTATGCCCCCAAGTCTTCACTTCATCCTCTTTCATGCATATGAGTTTTTGCCTTATTCATGTATGTCTTTGTTTTTCTTTATAATAATTACATCTTGGGCCAAAGATTTTTTTTTACCCAAGTTTCACCTTCAAACTACTCTCGATATAATTGTCAACGGGGGATACATGTAGATCGTATTCTGAGGTATTAGGGTACGTTGGTACGAGGATTTATACGAAACGATATCAAGCACACAGAAAACAATGATTATATTAGTTCAGACCCCTCGTAAGGTAATAGTCCCAATCTTGTTTATATGGGATTATGAAGAAAACCACAGAGATTATAATAGAGAACCACAGAACCATCGAGTTACTGAGTTCACCCCTGTCGAGAATGACCCGACGAGATCAATCAACGAGTTGGCTTTAAGTCCTTCGGATTGCTTCTGCTATGGCTAGTGGCAAAGGTATGATTCGATGATCCCGTACCCCCTGGGAGCCTTGTATTTATACCCTTAAATGTCTTGGTTTCCAAATAGAACTCAAAGAGTACCTTACACGTACGAGATCACACTCCTCCAAATAAGACTCTAACACATTATATTCGGGGAGTCAGTTTCCTTATACATCAGCCTATTTTAAGGTAACATTCCCGTATACTTGAGGATATACCATATTCGTATACCGCGTAACCCCCAGGATAGGAGGTATGTCTTATCCGTAACCCTAACACTAATGTTTTCACTTCAAGACAGGTATTTTACCTATTTTACACTTTAGACCACCGTCACACCATCTCTCTCTCCCTTCTCCACCTCATGTTCTCCACCGCCCCACCTGTTATTGCTGGTTTGCCACCTCCCCCGAGCTCAAGCTCAACATTTGACTCTGGTGTCCCCAATATTAAGCTCAGTCTCTTCCTTGTAGGAAGACAACGGTGGGGAGCTCAAGCTCGACAACGAGGACCTCTACAAGCTCATTGTTGCCTTGTTACCTCAGCTTCATTCTAAATATCAATGTCCGGAGTAAGGAAAAACTACCTCCTTCCTTCTTCTTGTCCTCCATGAAACCATTGATGCCATCCTTTTCCCTAGATCTAACTGACCAGAGTTGGGGACGACTGCCACTACCCCGCTTTTACTTCTTCATGGGGATTGCCGATGCAGTTGCACTACTTTGCCCTCCAGCTCTGCTCCATGAGGAGAGGGAGATCAACGGCATCGACAAGACCCAAAACTTGATATTCACTTGCAACACCAGAAACTTGAGCATCATCAAGACCATGAGCTCGATCTCTATCATCGCCTATGCTCTCATGGCTCCCAAGCTTGACCTCCTCCTCCTCCAATTTCACTTGATCCAGTGGCGTTTGTGGTCGAGGTGCTAAGAGGCATGATGGAGAAATGGGATTGGGAGGAAGAATGTCGCGGTTCAAGAGAAAAGGAGCACACAGACGCCTTGTCAATCAAGGTCCGAATGGTGGTGGTAGGGAACCAGAGGTGGAGAAGAGATAGATGGAGAGAGGGTGGTCCAAAGTGCAAAAGGGGATAAATATACCATGGTAAAGAAAATGGGGACAAATATACATGGCTTTCAATGAAAATATTAGATATGGGTAGTCTTAGTGAAAGTTTGGTAAAAATCTTACTCCCAAACCACAATTTACTCCATTTCTTTTGATCGCTCTATTCCCATTCCATTTGTTGACTATGAGCTGATTGTTAGATTTTTTTTTTACGTTGACTACATTGTACTTGTTGGTCATAAGTAAGTGCTTGCTTAAAAAGCATAATTGTCATGTGAACAAATTTCAACAAGAAAATTGAAAGTGAAATAGTAATTAGTTGACCCCGGATTTAAAAATTCTTATATGAAATTTGATAAATAGTTTTAGACTAAATTTTACGAAATATTAAAGGATAGTTTCACTCTACTCTTTCCAAAGAAATTTAAAGTAGGTTCAATTTTACTTATTTTTTAAAAAATACAAATTTTATTTATGAGTGGAAGATAGGAAAAATGGTGATCCGTGTAATTTCCCTTTTAAAATTTCACCAAATTTGGTTGCAATTCACTAGAAAAATTTAAATTTTGGTTTTCAAAATTTGGAATTTTGGCCCCTTAAATTGTTGTATAATTGAAGCTTTTCACCTTGATAAATTTTATAAAATTACATATATTTTGATCAAACTATTACAAAATAATATACTTTAAAGTGGTGTATCATAAAACTATAGATTTATGACTGAATTTATATAAAAAAAACTACATATTTAAGATGAAATTATCCCAGAACTATATGGTTTGCACAAAGTACAGTACAAAACTACAACATTTGTAACTACTTAACATAATAGTATGTAGTCGTAGGGATTTAAATTGTAAAACCTATAGTTTTGTGATGACTGTAGTATTAAAATTGTAGTTTTGTGATACTTGGCATTAAATATGTAGCTTTGTGATAAATCTTGCGTTAAATCTATAGTTTTACGATACAATATCTTAAATATGCAGTTTTACAATAATTTAATTAAAGTACAGTTTTGTAAAATTACTCCTACATATTTATAACAAGGTACACACAACTTTTACTACTATATAATAGCAGGAGACAATATAATCATTTTATTTTTAAAATGACATTCACGTATAGTGATTGGTTTGGTCGGAAATACATGACGTCATAACTGCTAACCACAATTCCCTCGTACCATCACATGGCAAACACGCGCGAAATCTGACACGCGAAATAGTACGACCGTGACGCGCCACAGCTCTCCCCCTATCCGATCCGACGACCAGCATTGAGCGCGCTCCCCCTGCCACGTCACCGATCCGCGTACTCTCTCCTCATTGGCTGCCTCCTCCTATATAGGATTACTCCCCCTCCCGCTTCCACCCCCAACCCAATCCACTCCACTCCACCGCCGCTCGCTCGCCGCCGCCGCCGCGTCGTCGTCGTCTCCGGCCTCCGCTTCCTCGCCGACGGAATCCTAGCTTAGCCATGGCTGGTAGGGGCAAGGCGATCGGCTCGAGCGCCGCCAAGAAGGCCACGTCGCGGAGCTCCAAGGCCGGGCTCCAGTTCCCCGTCGGCAGGATCGCCCGCTTCCTCAAGGCCGGCAAGTACGCCGAGCGCGTCGGCGCCGGCGCCCCCGTCTACCTCGCCGCCGTCCTCGAGTACCTCGCCGCCGAGGTACGCCACGCATGGACGCACTCGAATTCGTGGTCGGATTGGATTGGATGGATGAATTCGGGCTGAATTTCGTTTGGGGATTTTTGAATTCTCGCAGGTTCTTGAGCTCGCCGGGAACGCGGCGCGGGACAACAAGAAGACGCGGATCGTGCCGAGGCACATCCAGCTCGCCGTGCGCAACGACGAGGAGCTGTCGCGCCTGCTCGGCGCCGTCACCATCGCCAACGGCGGCGTCATGCCCAACATCCACAACCTGCTCCTCCCCAAGAAGGCCGGCTCCAGCGCCAAGGCCGCCGCCGCCGACGACGAGTAGAGACGAACACAGATTCCTCACTATGACGAACACTACATGCTTCCTTCCGCCGATGGATTAGACAATAGGCATCCTGCTTAATTTAGTTTTTAATTGTGCTTGTTTCGTAGACAAGGGATTAGTTGCTCTGTAATTGGTGTTAATTTATATGAAATAGTGTCATCTTTCTCGATGACTTTTGTCAAAAGAAATTCTCTCCGGGTGTTCAGATTTTCCAGGTTGATTTGAATGCGTTGTCTATAAATCGTGGTAAATGTTTCTTGATTTTTTTAACTCTTGGGACTTTTTTTTTTTGAAACAACAACTCTTGGGAAATTGGGTTGTTGTCAAACGTCGCGTCTGGTTTTTCTAGAGTTCGTGCGTTCTCAGCGTGGTATTCAAATTGAGACTTGATTTGGTTCTCAAAATTGTTGGATCTAGCGCAGGATTTGGTTTGAAATTGAGCATTGGCGCGGGCGGGCAGCTTTGAAATTCATGTGATTTCAAACAGTGCCAAGGCGGGAAGACGAAAATTTCCGCCAAGAAAGAAACGGCTTAACGGCAGGAAAGAGAGAGAGAGAGAGAGGGGGATGGGGAAAATGAAAGTTGAAAATAATTTTAAACCAGCTCCTTGCAAGTGGAAGCAGCCTCTATACATTAACATGTGGGTCCCACTTGCTTTGGGCCCACATGTCCGTGACACCGCCTGCACGTTCAGTATCCCATTCCCATGAAAGGTACACATACGGCTCATTAGAGTAGGGAAAACAGGAGGGTCATAAGTCAATTACTATGAGCTTCTATTGAGGTGATAGATACAAAAAAATATATGGTGTTGAATTTTTATGTAATACTATCTCCGTCCCAAAATAAGCGCAGTCATACGTTTCCGCGTCCAACTTTGATCGTCCGTCTTATTTGAAATTTTTTTATAATTAGTATTTTTGTTGTTATGAGATAATAAAATATGAATAGTACTTTACTCGTGACTTATGTTTTTAATTTTTTTTAAAAAAAATTCAAATAAGACGAACGGTTAAAGTTGGACGCGGAAAACTATAGCTCCACTTATTTTGAGACGGATGGAGTAGCTAGCTCTACACATGGTTTAATATGGATATATTAATTTCATAGTGAGATAAAGAGAGAAAACAATAAAACTAATCTATTATATATATATTAGCTATAGTATAAATTTATACGGGGTAGTTGTTCTGCTATTAAACTTGCTACTACGAGAGGATTAGGCTGCTGCAGTTTACCACCTGACTTCACACAGAGTACATACTTTCTTCGTCTAAAACAAACCAACCTCGTATTAGGATGTGACAGCGAATCTGAATATACTCTATATCCAAATTTATTGTATTAGGATGTGTCATATCTTACTACTAGATTTTTTTGGGCGGATGGAGTACATACGTACATGGTATCGACAAGGGTTTACCATCCACCCTAAGGCCCCGTTTGTTTTCTCCATTGGGAAAGATTTTTCAGCGCATACGTAGTGAGAAAACTTATTAGTACATGATTAATTAAATATTAACTATTACTAACTTATTTGAATCTTATAAACAACTTTTATATAAAAATTATTGAATTCTAGTTAATTTATGACATATTGATTAGTATATTAGTGAGTAATTAGATAATTAGTGTGTATTAGACGCAGATGTTTTTTTTGTTGTGGATTCGCCGCTACGTTCATCCTTGTTTCTTTTATGATATCTAATGTTTTCTATTAACAAGATGTTATCATGACAGTACTAACGCAGTATGAATCTGTGATATATACACTTAAATTAACATGAAACTAATTAATCGCTGATACTCGAGATGGAAATGAAGTTCAAGCAGAAACTAATTAGATCAAAGTTCTGACGTGGACTCTCCTCTCGCACTAGTGTTGTCACATTCCAATTCGGTGGTTGGAGATTAAAAGAGATGGTTAGAGTGGATGGCCGCATGCACCGGTTGCTGAATATCTATATGCTTAATTAGTGAGAAAAAACGTGGTTTTCCTTTTGATTTGTGCAGTCGTTTGTTGTTGCTTTGCCGCTTCCATCTAGTGATGGTCAGCACATATATGCTCTGCACGTATGTAGCTGTTCTTTTCTCCCGAAGACTTAAGGAAGATTATGTTTTTTACGTAAAACGAGATGGTATTAACGTATGATTAATTGAGTTTTAATTATTACAAACTTGAAAAATAAATTAATAGGATATTTTAGAGCAACTTTTATATAGAAAGTTTTCGCACGAAACACACCGTTTAGTAGTTTGAAAAGCGTCTCACGAAAATCTTAAACTTAATCCAACTCTTGTTAGAGTAGTCATAATCTTGCATTAGGTGAAAAGTTGGAGGCTAATCCATATAAAAAAAGTTTGTAGTTCTTTGATTTTGCCAAAGTGTCAATGCGTCATAAGTTTGATATATTTCAGTGAACGGCATCATATATAAGTTGATATTTATTGAGGTCAGTGGCGATTAACAAAGCAACAGTGTACGTATGAGGTCTGTAATTTCACTTGGTGGTTATATTTGTTGTTGAACTTTGGAGTAATTCTGAGGTAGAAGTAGAGCGGTAGATCGATGAACCCAAACCAGAAATAGTCAAAAAGGAAAAAAAAAGAGAAGCTTTGCAAAAGGCAAAATTTACTTTGAGATATTCTTGGTTAAGTTCGTGGCATTTGCTATTGGATACTCTCGTTTTGTGGATTTGTCATAGGACATTCTAGTTTTACAGTTGTTTGATAAAAATACACTTTGACCATTATTTTAGTGGATTTAATATATTCTCTTCCAATGGAGCTATAAAACTGCAAAATAAAAGTTTAGCTGAATTTAAATATATTATGCAAATTCAAAACTTGTCCAAAGTTGTGGAAACGAGAATTGCCAAAGATTTTTTAAAAATCGAACAAAGAAACAAATTTGAACAAATATTGGTTGCATTTAAATAAATATTTGTAAAATGTTTTTATTTCTGTAATTTGAGACAATTTTTGAATTTTGCAAAATATGTTTAGATCCAGTCAATATTTGTTCAAAATTACATCTTGCAAGGTGACCTAACGATAAAATCATCTTTTCTTCATTTAAAGATGATATATTGAAATAATGGTCCAAATGTCTCTTACTACCTCCCAAGAAAGGTATTAGGACTGAGAGAGTAGTAAACAATCGTAAAAGTGTGTGCTATATAATAAAGTACACAACTAAAGTATTCTTAAGCAAATGTCGTGGATTTAGAGTCTCCTAGAGCAAATTTTACCTCAGATATTGGTGTGTGCCTTTAATACACAGTTGAATAGTACACCATACACCCAAAGTGCGATTTAATGCATATATATACCCACAAGATATGCACACATATTTATACTCATAAAATTGGATAGCATTAGTACACAATTTAAGATTTGAACACAAGTGAGCGGAATGCACAACTTCAAGCACCAGGACTAGCTTACATGGCCACTTATATATCAAGATCTTATTTATGGAAGGGAGTAGTCCTTAATTAAGAATTTCCTCATCAGATTATATATAAAAAAAGATTTTACGCTCCTTTCAAGATGCTTAAGTTGAACAGATTGCTGAGAGGGGAGGTCATATTTCAATTTCGAAATGTCCATCTGAATACCTGTGTTAATTTGTACGAACACGTACATGGCCGTTTCTTCCACGCACCCGACGAAAGAAAATGACTCGGCAACCATCAAGTTTTCTGCTCATTGCCTTTTTTGAAGAGCAATCCACGCAACAATCTGTCCTCTTTTTAGTCCTTGTATAGATTGTATGAACTACCTTCATTTTTTTAAAATGCTTGTTTTCCAAAGCATGGCGTCTCAAATGAAGCAAAACAAGGTCTGATCAATTCAGCAGTTTTGTTAAATTTTCCTCACAAGAGGCTTTGTTAACAATGTGCTAGCAATTTGTCTGGTTGAAGAGGAGGAATTAATTCAAACCATGCATGGAACTAATCCTAATCCACTCCTAACAATACTTTTTCAAGAGGGTGAAAAAAAAAAGGAAATGGCATATGTCACTGTTGGAACAATGGAGATGGTTGGCCCCAAAGGTTTCTTTCCAAACAGTTGAAAGGAGCCTCTCTCCAACTGTTCACAAAGTTTGTCACATTTCTCACCCACCAAATCTTCCCTACAAAAATATAATCCCCACAAGCAACACCACACCCCCAAGTCCTTCTCCACCTCTCACTTTCTCCCTCATCTTCTCTCTCTAGCTAGCTCTTCTCTTGCATATATATATATATATATGCTGTGACACCAGTATTTCATGTTCTGGGAGTAGCAAAGCACATGTCAAGATTGTTGATGCTGGCTACTACTGCTACAATGGAGGAGGAGATGCTGGAGGAGCAAGGTGAAAGCAGGAGAGTGGTCAGGTTGGAGCAAGAGGTGCTGATCCACATCCAGGTCAGGAGGATCAAGCAGGAGGATGAGAAGGCCAGGGGGCTTCTCCAGAGGCTGCAGCTGCTGGAGATGAGGCCCACCGCCACCGCCGTCATCGGTTTCCGCGAGCTGGCGCGCCCTCCCTCGCCGTCGCCGCTACGCCGCGCCGGTCAGGCCATCTCCGTTGGAGATTGAGGGGGGGGGGGGGGGGGCATTTTTCTTTCCCTTGATCAATGTGGTGTAAATATGTAGGAGAGTTCAGAGTGTTTCAGGTTTTCAGTTCATGTGATCCATCCATGGATTGGCATAACTTGATGTGTTCTCTTCCTTTGTGCTGTAAATACAATTGAGCCGCTTAAATTGCCAGGTTGCATTGTGTTGGTTTTTCTCTTTGATCCTTTCTTGGCCGGAATAGCTTCAGATAAGAATGCAGAGGTCACATCAGCAAGCAAAGCGGATGAAGCAAAGAGGGAGGATTAGCCACTCAAACTTTGTATAATCCATAGACAGCAGATTGGACCAGAAAACATGGATTATGTCATGCTAACCATTGGATGGATGACAAACCGATGAATCGTGTCATTCCAGTAAACAACAAAGTGAATATTTTTTCCTTGGTGTTGCCGACAAGGTAGACTAGTGAAAGATCCCATCTACCAGATTAGAAGTCAGCATCAACATTGGAGAAGAAAAATCATACTAGCAATTACTACTACCTGATAAAGAAAACTATTGCCGTTAAAGGACATCCAAGACTTGGGATAATATAGACTAAACTACGTAACTTCTACGGATGATGATGAGTCATAAAATCCCAGGATTTACTTTTGTTTGGGAAGCTTAACACGACAATCTCAAGAGCAAGCAGCACCAAAAAAAAGAAAAAAAAAACCTAGGGTTGCAAATCCCAGATAATCACTACACACCACAGTTGCGTCTTCTTCAAACTTCTAGAGGCAGAGTTTGTTTTTGCAAACCTAAGCAGAAAGTTCTCTGCTTCCAGGAGTACTACAGCTCAATCGGGCTAACCTATCATAACGATAATCTTGCAACAGATGCTTATAGAGCAGTTGTGACAAAATGGCTGCCACCACCGTTAGGTCTGCAGCGATCAGTCGGTCTTCATTGCCTCAGCATGATAAGTTTCCAGGTCTTTGTCCAGCTCATCTGCAGTCTTCCCAGCTTGCCTCCTTCCGCGACCACGGCCCTGGAATTGACCACGGCCCCTGACACTGCCAGTGCCACGGCCCTGGAACTGGGACTGGAATGGGGCACGACCCCTGCCACGGCCTCGGCCCCGGCCAGCTTGGAAGGCACCACGGTTATATCTATTACTGGAATGGCAAGTTCAGGTGACAGATCAGCAAAAAGATCAATAAAGTTTCAACACATTTGTGGTGTTTTTCAGTTTGGTTGTGTCAACTAGGGAAAAACACAAGCAAGATGAAATTGTCACCAACCACCGCCAAAAGTGAGAATAACTAGTAGAAAACAACCTTATTTTCTTCTTTGTATGTCACAAATGCATACAGTATCCATGACTAAACTAGGAAAAATTGTAGTATAGCAGGAACAGGTGGAAACATGATTAATTTATGCTAGACATGTAGTATAAAATGTAAACCTGAAACTCTGCACATTACATGCTTCTTATTAAAAACAAGAAGAAATTGGTTACAATAATAACCAAATGGCAGTTGCTTTACTGTAGATCATGATGCTTTTAAAATAACCAAGCAAAATGATGTGGTCACTATTCGCTACTAGTACCAGATAAGTAACAGAATAAATTACACAGCTAAGAAAATGATACTGTGAGAAGCCTTACACTGTAGGACCTGTTGGTCTACTGCTGGAACCACTGCCACGCTGGCCAATTTCAGGCCTGAAATATATTTATTTTTGTTGAGATTTATAGAAAAATAAGGTAGATTGACTGAATGGTTGATAGGTATATAGCTTTAAAGGCTCAGAGAAAAATGAAAACAACAAAAGCCCAACATAGCACATTTTCAAACTGGAGTTAAATTTCACAAGTTATCAATTGACTTGCAACACACAACTGCTAACGAACGTGACGAAACATATTTATCAGTTGAACTTTTATCCGTTTTCAGACTATAGTCCTTCCTAAATATGGCTAGCTCATTAGAATATTTCACACAATACTAGAATCTGCTAAGTAAACAGCTCATATTGGCAGTGACAAGTTAAATTAGCACATATACTGGCCCAACAAGAAGTTTACTTAAAAATATTACAACTCATCAAACAAATTATCAGCCTCTAAAGTAACACATGAACAGAAGCTTGTAGACATGCCATATTGTTAGCAGAAAAAAGAAAGAAGAGTTTATCTGCAAGCAATTAGGAGTTCTGATAGCCCAGTATTCAATATTTAACTTGGGACATACAGACTGCATTGTGATGTGTGATCCAGCTTAGGTTCCAGGTATGTCATTTTCTTTTTGTCCTTGGAAGCTAAATAAGAAATTGAGATACATAGAAATGGAAGGATTACTCACGTCATAACAACTGTTCTTGTAGGTCTGCCATTAGAAGCCCCAACCACATTTATGCGAGGTGTCATAGGCAAACCTAAGTCACTTCCAATAACTTCTATCTTCATAGCTTTACCATCAAGCAGAACATTATTGTAACGTTTCAATGCAGCAATTGCATCACTTCTCCTAGTAAACACCACTTCTGCTGTGCCCTGCAGAAATTTAACAAAAAAAGATATTAGCACAATAATCGAGGCAAGAGGCAGTTAGCAAAAGTTTCAGTGATCACAAAAGTTCATTTATCATTTTCTTTTTGCAGAATAAGCACCGCAAATGGACACTGTTTACATGCTGTTAATTTGCTAGGCCAGCTAATTAGTACATAAGATTGTGTATATATAAATTTTTTTGACCAGAAAACAGAGAGGGAGGTCCCCACGCTATATATAGTACATAATTATTACAACAAATACATGTATTTTGCAAATGTACTCTAAGCAGATCACCATTTTATGGAGTTTCAACCAGAAAAGCTCAGCAAAGTTCAATGTGTGAAAGAATAAGAAAGACATAATCCCTACATATATATTACTAAAAACAAACATTTCCTATGTTTGTCTTCTTGCTGTTATCTCAAACGCAAGATAATCACTAAGATACATATTATCCTATTGTTGTTTTATTGTTCTTGGTAAATCTAATGCAAGGCATAAATCTGTGCACTGGAAGTTTTCATCCATAAGACAAGGTATAATTATACTTCATATGTGATCATCTAGAGCAAACTGAAAGTACTGAGTGGGAAGATGACAAGGTGTGTATGGTTTCCCTTGAAACAATGCAAATTGGTTCACCGAAGAAAAACATCACTTTGAGTTTACATATAATACCTAATTGAAATCAAAATATGCTCTATTTGTAAATATGATAAGAAGTACAAACATTTGGGCGCCCATAACCATCAAAGTGAACAGCAAAGCGCTTCAAGTGACCAACTTCTGAAAACAGCTCCTACAAGGCGAATTGAAAATGTTAGCCTGTCAACTCTATATCCAACAAGAATAGTGAAAAGAAATATCCCAAAAAATTAATTAGTCTAACAAACCTTTATATCCTCATTGGAAACCCCATAGTCCAAGTTTGAAATGTACAATTTTGTACCAGTTTCAATTCCACTAGCTGCCATACTATCACTAAACAGATCAGGTCTCCAGGTCATGTCTTTGGTTCTGCTAAAAGACTGAAAATGGCCAAACATCCAGCATGTGAGAAAATGTGTCATCACAGAAGCATATCACCTCAAACTGTTCTGTATGATCATGGCAACTATCATTAGTAATATCAATCTTTATGGTAGAGCAGAAATAAGCAGCTTGACTATGAAAATGCTGCATTAACTTAAAATGGAGAGGAAGAGAGTTCCACAAATATCACAAGTGGAGTAGATAAATGGCTAGAGCATTTTCTCTGGAGACATCCTAGAAGCACTTCACCATAGCAGATCCCAAAGCTGTCAGATGAGAGCTGCATTGAAGTTCCAGGTATTGCACAAGGATCAATGAAGATCCTTCCTTCGGCACCACATGCAGATTATATATTGAATTGCAAGAATACCACAAACTTCTTTTTTTTTCTTTTCATTTGGTTCGATCCATATGTGTGACAAACCTCCTTTTCCATTTATTTCGATCCATTTGATCGAAGAGCAGTTGCTGTCCTTCAAAGTTCCCACTAGATGTATCCACCAGTTATTTCTGCCACTCCATAAATGAAACCTTAGAAATGATCTACCCAATCAAAGTTTTTCACAAGAGATTAACAGCAAAGGAGGAGAGCATTCACTAGCGTGGCATTGGTTCCCCTTGAGTTCTCTAGGAACATCAAATTGTAAAAACTTTGGGCTGTCACCCTAGTTGGGCCAGCTCCCTGTAATCTCATTTCCTCGTTAACCGATCGGCAAAACCACTGCCTTCTCCTCTAAAAAAGGAAAGACTAATAGCAAAGCTACTTCTTCCTCTCCTCCACCTCCACATGATAGAGAGATGCTCTAGCCAAATCCAACTCGACAAAGGCTCGCTCCATTAGTGATAACTTCTGCCCCTCCACATTGTACAAAATCTTAGAGATGCTCTCTCTTCATTCATTCAGTAATTTATTTTTTTTTAGCGTATTCAGGAGAAATCTGACCATGAACAAAAACACAGCGTCAGTTTCGGTGGCCTTGCCTTAGCAATAGTGCGCGCTGATGGCCGCGAGTTAACCCCGAGGCCAAGGGGCCCTCGAGGAGGCATCCCTGATCTTCCACGCAGCACATATCCACCTCTCCCACCACCACCTCCACCACCTCCACCACCTTGAACACGGCCACCACCACTAACCCTATCCCCACCCCTCCTGGCGTAATACGCCATAATCCCAAACTCGCTTCGGTCAGATCAGATTAACACGGTTCTTCTCCTTCTTCTCCAACAATCAAACGATGAAAAACCTGCAACATTACAAGGCTCGATCAGGGGGGGAGGCGCGAGGCGCGAGGCGAAGAGAGGAACCTCTTCCAGATCTAGAAGAAGAGAGGGGGGTAGGATTAGGGCAAAGAGAGAAGGTGCGGTGCGGTGCGGTGCGGTGCGATGCGATGCGATACTCACCGGCGTTGCGAGGATGCGGAGTAGGAAGCAGCAGGACGCCGGCGGCTGCTCGCCGCTGCTCGGCCGTGCGGAGGCGGAGGCGGCGGCGGCGGCGGAAACGTGAGGAGAGGAGGAGATGTAGTAGAGAAGGAAGCAAAGGTGGAGTCAATGAAGAGGATAATTGCGCTGGGCTATTTGTTTAGCGGTATGGGCTTTCATGTGGGCCGGTCTGAGTCGAGTACGGCCCAGCCCGGCTGAAACGGAATCGAGAAGGTGAACCTCATAGGAATAAGCTTATATCGGAAAGGAAAAAGTACACCGAAGGTCCCTCAACTTGTCATCAGGATAAAAAAAGTACTCGAACCGTAAAACCAGATATGTGGGGTCCCTTAAATAACAAAACCGGACACCCAAGATCCTTCGGTGGTTTTGACCCCGGTTTTGGTCTACGTGGTGGCTAAGTCAGTGTGGGACCCACGTGGGCCCCACATGTCAACATGCCACGTCATCACTCCCTCTCTCTCTTTCCCCTCCTCTCCCTTTCTCCCATCTCTCTATCTCTTTCTCTCTCTCTTTTCTTCTGCAAGCTGGCCAGTGAATGGGGAGGAGGTCGCCGGGGCGACGAGGTGGCGGCGGTGGCTGCGACGCGGGAGCAGGCCACCACGCCGGGTTAGATTCTTGCACCGGCCAAACTCTCCCGGGATGGTGCTGGTGAACCGGTTCCCGAACAGCTGAAGAAACTTCGCCGGTGAACCGGTGAGGTTGTTGACGTCCAAACCGAGAGCCCACATAGCCGAGCAGTTGTAGAGGCGGCTCGGGATGCCGCCACCGCAACTACCATCCCACTGTGCAAGCCGAGCCATCGCCCTTTCCACCGCTTCCGGCCGCTCCCCGCCGGCGACACAGGCCTCGCTCGGCTGTGCTGCCGCCACCCTCAGCACCGCCACGCTCCACCGCTCCTCGGCGTCCACTCCTCTTCGCCGAATACCCACCGGAGTCCCAACCACCTCGCGTTCCGGTGAGTTCCGCCCCGAGTTCCATCGCCGGCGTTGTTTTCCCACCGCTTCGGTCGCCCGTTTTCCTCCCTAACCCATCCAATCTCTTCCTCAGGTCTCGCCGATCCTCGGCCTCCCCTCCTCCTGTGCCGGACGCCGCCAAATCGTCGTCGTCGTCCTCGCCCGAGGGACGCCGCCGCCTCCTCGCCTCCCTCCGTCGGCCACCTCTCCCCGCCGTCAGCCGCTTGGTGAGCATCCCTCCTTTCCTCCCCGCTCCCTTCCATCGCTTGTCGGCCGCCGCTTCCGGTGAGGACCTCTCCTCCCTCCCCTTTTTTCCCGTCCTCCTTTCTTGCCGGCCACCACCTCTTGGGGTGCGCCGCCGTCCCCCGTGCGCGCCGCTGTCCTCCGCCCGCCCGCCGCCGTTCCGCATCGCCGGCTGCCGCCGCCGCCGCACCTTGGCTCGGCCGGGCCGGCTTTGTGCCGCGCCAGTGGCCCTGGCCGCTGCTCTCCCCTCGGGTCGACCTGGGTCGTCCACGTGGTGGACATGTGCCCGAGGCCGTGGTGGACCGTGTCCACCGTGCGCCCTTCCCCTTGTGCCGCTGACATGTGGGACCCGCCTGTCGGCGCCGGTTCCCCTTGCTGACGTCCGCGAATGCCTTTTCCTTTGAGAAAATAATTATTAATTGCGTCATAAATCGGTAATAATTCTAGAAATTCATTAAAACGGCTCAAAACTTCTAAAATTTATGTCTAATTCATACGAACTCCGAATTGAGCCATTCAAGTTGCAAAATTCATCTAAAATTGGGATCTACATGTTTTTTTACTTTTTATGTACTATTTCCTTGGTTTTTATTAGTGTTTTTCCTCGTTTTGCACGCCAACGAGTAGATTCCGCCATTTCGGAAGTCTGCGGTCGCAAAGATAAGAGTTCAGAAGATCCAAGTAAAGAAGCAAGGGAAGTCACACATTTCCCCTTGAGCATGTTGATCCCAATTTACAAATGTTTTACCGTTTGCAAATAAATATGCATGTTTTGCTAATTACATGGGATCAGGGTTTACCTATCTGCTCGCTTGTGCCATGTTTACTTGATATCTGTCATTTGTCAATCGTGGGTAATAAATCGACTAGCTCATGTTACTTATGTGACACATCTAGAACTATATGCTTAGCCATGCTTAATTGCCACTAGCTCAGTTGATGGGATAATTACAGTTTTAGACCTGTTAGTATCATGACGAGCCGCGTGCTCGAGACACCCGACCATGTTGCATTGGTCGTAATTATCTATCTAAAATGCAACTGAATGGTGGGCTGTGGGTGCATGGTTTTGCGAGTCGCACCCATGGCAATTAAGACCAGTTTACGGGAAACCCTGGAAGACTTACAGTGCTTGCCACAAGCGGGAATGGGTAACTGCCTGATCTGAAGTATAGCTCGACCCTTTCCTAGGCACCGGTGGCGAGGGTGGGCGTGATGGAGTTGGGTCGGCCGGGGTGTCCAATTGTCCAGCTGCCGGATTCACCGCGGTGCACGAGGGGACTGCCTGCTGCCTTGTGAGGAGTGGGGGTGAAACCTTAGCGTGGTGTGGATGGTTAGGGGAGAGTTATATGAAGGGTCTTGTCACAATCACTCGACGTGGTGACGTGTTCATCATGGGCACATGATGACACGGTGACATGTCGGTGGATTGTGTCTTGTGCGTACAGTTATGCACCTCTGGCTAGAGTAAAACTATTCGAATAGCCGTGCCCGCGGTTATGGGCGATCGAGCAGATTCACCGTGATTAGTCTCACCCCTGATAAATCGACCCAATGCACTGTAGTTCAGGTGGGTTGGTTGGGCCTGTTCAACGTGGTGTAGCATTGATCAATGGAGATTTAATATTACCTTAATTACTCAACTGTCTTACTGTTTTGCGCAATAAATGTTTTACAACCGCCTTTATGCAAATAGCCACAAGCCATTCTTGAATTCCCTTGCATGTCTGCATTGTTGGTGTGGCTTGCTGAGTACAGTGGTTGTACTCAGCCTTGCTATTATTTCCCCCTTTTCAGAAGTGTAGTGATTCTGAGCTGAAGACGAAGTTAGAGGACTAAGGCTCAGACCCCAGTTGAGTTTTGCGTGTGGAGTGGAGCTGAAGCCTCGTTAGGATCGCCTTTTTCCGCTGCTTCTACTTTCGTTTCAGTGTGAGGACTAAGTGCCTCTTCTGTAAGTATTTTACGCTTTATTTATGTTTGAAACTGTATATTACTTGTCGCTTTATTTACGTTTGGAACTGTATATTACTTGTCGTTTTGTGTACCCTGGCTGGTACTGGACAGGGATTTAATACACAAAATAGTCTGGAAATTTGGGTTAAATTTCTGGGCGTGACACTGGTGTTGGCCCATGTCAGTCCGACCCGACCGTCGGGCCGTGTCTGGGCCTCGGCCTCGGCACAGTGGGCCGACCCAGCATGGCATAGTCCAAGAAAAAAAAGTCTATTTTGCCTCCCTCGGCTTTTCCTCTTAGTTGAGTCTCATCCCCTTGTTGACAACATAAATGTTATTCAATACACAATAAATCAATTACGGTCTTTCTATTTGAGTAAAAATATAATAAAACTTATAAAATCCATAACTAACTCATATGTACTCTGTTTAACTCCATTCAAAATGCAGAAAATTCATAAAAATACCCCAAATCCATTCAAAATCCTAGTAGGCTTTTCGCTGACACACTATATACTTCATCTTGAGCAAATTTTGTAAATTTTTATTATATATATAGTTTCATCCTATTGTGCATATGAAAGAGGATTAGCTCTTAGATTTTTTATGAACTGGACCCATGTTAAGAACCTTATTCATATTAGCTAATCTTCAGTGTGAAATCGTTATCATCTAGTGAGTAATGTCTATTCGCTATTGCTAGCTCATGCACGCGATGAAGTTTCCAAATACAGACAATATTAAAGGCTGACAGATATGCTAGCTATTTGCACATTAGCCACCGTTTTTATCAGGCAAACATTAACTTGCATTTATTCGTTTGATATTCTCGAATGTGTAAAATAATTTCTTTCCATAATCTAGTGATTGTTGCGATATGATCTTCCATTATAAAACCACCATATTCCCCTTTCTTTGAACTCATATCAATCTAACCATTTCCCATCAATCCATAGGTGCAGTCTTGCTAGAAAGTGGTGAATCGTGAAGGCCATGGCTCGCAACAAGGTGAAGTTGCAGCGGATCATCAATGATGCGAAGTGGCGGGCGGCATTCAAGAAGCGGCTCAAGGGCTAGAAGAAGAAGGCAAGCGAGTTGTCGACACTATGTAGTGTGGATACATGCCTCATGGTGTATGGTGAGGGCGAGGTGCAAGCAACAGAGGTTTGGCTGTCGGTGCAGGAGGCGACGAGGGTTCTTGAGCGCTTCAAGGCCATGCCACAGCTAGACAGATACAAGAAGACGATGGATCTGGATGGCTTCATCAAGGAGCGCACCGACAAGCTCCAAGAAAAGTTGCACAAGGTAAGACGTGATGCCGATGAAAGCGAGACCAAGATACTCATCGTTGAAGCCTTCTATAGCCGCTGCGCAGGCCTCGAGGATCTTACCATTGAGCAGCTTACCAGCCTTGGCTGGATGGCAGATGCACAACTCAAGATCGTCAACAACTCAGTCTATCCGTAACCGTGCCACTGAAATTTTACAAAATTAGAACCATGCCACTGTCGTCACGTTTTCCGTCAATTTCCTTCCTTTTCCACCTTCTTCCTTCTTTCTCCTGTCTTCTTCCTTCTTTCTGCCATAGCGAGGTTGAGCGCGTTTGCGATTAGCACGGTGTCCACACGGCTTCCCGCGTCAGTGCAGCCAGCGTCGGCCGTAGCGACATCACTATTCCCGCCATCGTGGCGGTGGCGTGCCCGCCCGCGCAGAGCCCCATCTTCGGGGCCGAGAGCCCCATCTCGTGGCATCTTTCCCTTCTCTCTCTCTTCCCCGTCGCATGGTTAGCGGGAGGCGCGGCGAAGCGCGTGGTGCCGGTGTCCAAGTGAGGCGGCATCTCGGACCTCATTTCCCCCCTCTCTCTGTCCCCACCCCTTGGGTCTGATCACTCTGCGTCGAGGAGCTGTCGGGTCCAAAGCTAGTGCCAGGGTCGGCCGCTGAAGCCTTGGGGGGGGGGGGGGTTCCTCATCGTCGCAGGCTAGCTCCGGCCGCTGTCTCACCTCCTTCTCCTCCATCTAGCGGGCTCCAGCACCAGCGCCTTGCCTCCTCCACTGCCGCCGGTGCTAGCAAGCCGGCTCTCCCGCTCCCGCCGCCGATCCGTGCGTCCCCACCTTGCCGTCGCGATCTTTTTAACTAGGAAACCTCCACATCATTTAGCGATATTTAGATCATACATGTTGCCTGCGGAAAACGTGAGACATTAATTAGGAGATCATATGCTCTATCGTGTGTTACCTTTATCCGTTATAACGCACGGACATTTTTGCTATATTCATTATATTAAAAGTTAAAGCAATTTATCAAGTACTACCTCTGTTCTATAAAAGTTGAATTTATAGGGAATCAAGGATAGAAAAACAATCATAATAACCTTATTATTTAATGAATACAGTGCACGCACACATTCTATATATAAACTTAATTAACATGAAGGTTGAGACTTAGAGAAGGGATGGAAGGAAGGGAGATTAAAAGGAAATATTTTTTTATGTAATCAATTTGCTGGGTCCCACATTAGTAGAAATACAATTTTAGATAGAAATTCAAATTTTATGAAACGGAGGTAGTAAATTAATGTGGGAAATAAACTTTCCTTTTAAAATCATGGCTGAGAATATTTTCCTAATATTCTTCATTCCCTAATATACTCTATAATTTTCCTTAAACTTTCATAGTAAAAAACAAAGGAATAAGTTCACCGGAGGTCCCTCAACTTAACAGCGAGAATTTTTGAGGTCCCTTAACCACAAAACCAGAAATGTTTACCTCTAAACTCACACAAACCGTGCACTCAAGATCCTATAGCAGTATATATGGCTGGTTTCGCTGACGTGGCATCCTAGTCAGAAAAAAAATTAAAAAATGTACGTGAGGCCCACATGTCAGTTGCACATCTCTTCTCTTCTAGTTTTATTCTCCTCCTCTTCTCTATTCTCTTCTTCAGGCCGGCAGCAGGCGGAGAGCCGGCGGGCAAGCGCAGATGAAGGCGACGGGCGGAGAGCCGTCGGGCTGCTGTCGCCGGAGCTGCATAGCCGGCTCCTCTCCGACCACCGCGCGCCCTTGCTCTCCCTCCTCCGCCGCCAGGATGACGAGCTCCGGACCAAGATCAAGAACCACCTCCTCGCGCTCGGATGGACCATCGCCTCCAAAGCCCAGCCTCCCTGGCCTCGCGCCCAGGCTCCGCTACGTCTCCCTCGCCGGAAGCATGCATGCTATTTGTATGTATGTATGTATGTATGTAAGCTCGCTAATGGCCAGGTGATTAGCGAGCTTAGGAAATGGGCTCAGCAAACACCACCTCATCCTGGAAGGCAACCATCCATCATCATAAGAAGTCAATACTGCCCTGGTCCATCTCCTCGTGGAAGGCAACCTCGCCCGCCCGCAGCACCCCTGTGTCCCCATCACCTGGCCGATCTGCTTAGGAGCATCGTCAACCAACGCCTACGTCGGACTTCCATGGCAGCTAGCACAGCCATCCTCGGCGCCAGTACGATGTACGCCATCAACTCATCATCAGACGCCAGTCGCCGACGATGCTACCTCCACGGTGCCACCACGTTGTCAAGACGCCGGATGTCCTCGCATGTGCGGCAGCTGCAACAACAAGAGCACGGCGACGGCGATGGTGCCTCCGCCCCTGGCCACCTCTGCCGCCCACGGCCTGCCGACTCCCCCCCCCCCCGCGCGCCCCGCCCAGCGCTCCCGCCGCCGACGACGCCCTCCCCTTCTCTTGCGTCACCGGCCGGCGCCGCCGGCATCCGAACCTCTCGTGACCCGTGGCCCGTGGCTCCATGCACGCCCGCCACTCCGCTGCCGTGCTCGCCCACCGATGCTCTGCCCGGCGGTGCTCCACCGGTGAAGAGGAGAAGAAGAGAAGTGAAGAGGAGGAGAAAAGAGAAGAAAACATATGTGAAGCTGACATGTGGGCCCTACGTACTTTTAAATTTTTTTTCTGACTAGGATGGCACGTCAGCGAAACCACTCACATATACTGCCATAGTAACTTGAGTGCACGGTTTATGTAAGTTTAGGGGTAAACATTTCTGGTTTTGTAATTAAGGGACCTCAAAAAATCTCGCTGTTAAGTTGAGGGACCTCCGGTGAACTTATTTCAAAAACAAAAGGAGAGAGAAGCAAGGTCCATCGCTTGGGCCGACGTCCTCCCCCCTTTCCTTCTTACTTGGGCCGACGCTCCCGCACGGCCCAAGGCCGCGCTAGCCCATCCCCATGCCGAACCAGCTAGCCCAAGGCCACGCCAGCCCAGCTTGCCCGCGCCCCTCCTTCAGTCCAGCCCACTCGTCAATTTTGTCCCCCTCCTCTAGCCTAGTCCACTCCCTCGGCCCGTAGAGTAAAACAGAATGCCAAATTAGTGCACGATTAAGGCCCTATTTCTTTCATGTTAGGATTATTATAATCTAGATTATTGAGAGTAAACTGAAAGAAACAGATAATTTATTAAAGTAGCTTATTATAATCTGGATCCCAGCTTATTATAATCCGATAAGCTCATTTATGTGAGCTTTTTCCATATTATTGGGTGAAAAATTACCCACCATGCCACCCCACTCCTTCTTTAAACTTGTAAACCCAATAATCTAGACTCTAATAATCTAGGAAAGAAACAACTAACCGCCTATTCTACTACATATTATAGCTTATAGTAATCTGACTCAATAATCTAGATTATAATAATCCCAAGCTAAAAGAAACAGGGTCTAAACCAGAATGTCAGATTAGCGCACGATTAACTAAATATTAGCTTAAAAACTCATAATATAAATTAATATGATTTTTAATGAAACTTTTATATAGAAAATTTTTTTGGGAAAAACGATTGAATTCCATTAGCCGATAGGCGAAACCGAATTTTTTTTTTTACTAGGAGAGCATTGCAGGCGAAACCAAACTTGGCTTTGGTTTTTCCTCCCTCTCGAAGGAAGCATTCCTCGCCACTCTCTCTCCATATGCTGCCCGCCACCGCCACCGCCTCCGCCGCGCCGCCGCCGCCGCCGCCGTTGCCGGCGTCCCCCGGCGGCGAGCCGCACGCCGCCCTGCTCCTGTCCCTGGCCTACCTGCCGCTGCGCGAGCTGCTGTCCTGCGCGGGCGCGTGCCGCCGCCTCCGCGACGCCGTCGCGGGGGACCCGCTCCTGTGGCGGCGCGTCGCGGTGGCGGCGCCGCCGCTCGCCCGCCGGCTCACCGACGAGGCGCTCCTCGCGCTGACGGGGAGGGCGGGGGGGACGCTCCGGTCCCTCCGCCTCCTCGGGTGCACCCGCGTCTCCGACGCCGGCCTGCTCCGCGTCGTCGAGCGAAACCCTGGCATCACCGAGGTATATAGTGGGAGGGTTTTCCCCCACACCGCATGTTCGCTTCATTTTGGTTTGTGAGAAAAGTTTGGATTAGGGAAAGATCTATAGATGCTTTGGGTAGTTGGGTGTTGCTCGCCTAATGTTTGCTGTAATGCCTACGCACCGTGGCTGCTTTAGCTTTCAGCAGTTTGGCTCATGTTACCGAAATCGAAAGAGGGGGGAAAATGCAATAATGTAATGATAATTGATCAAGTTAATTTGAATTCATTACAATTTAAACATTACATGTTTACAAATACAAATCGATGTTAGTTGATACTTGATACACTGTACTTTATCGTGTTTGGAGCTTGATAGACTTATGTTGGTGTTCATGCCCTCAGTAAATAGCACCCCCCAGAAAGCCAGCGCACTAGCATTTTGGACTTTTAGTTATTTCTGTATGAAATACTATTTTTACACGAGGACAACTCGACATGGAGCTTGAAGCTTTGTGCTTCGAGAGAGAATGCATGTTATTGTTATTCCAATTCCTGTGATATGGACCTTTTTGAAACAACACTAGTAATCTTATATGGTATCTATGGTGGCAACAAAAGGTAGTGGTTGGTTTCTTGCTTGGAAGAGATAAATTAATTCGTTGAGCACATTACTCAATCAAGTGTGAATTCTAGGATCCTGCTTGCTTGGGTGCCCATTTTGTATCCTGTGATCTGTGTTAAGTGATCCCATTAGATACTAACATTAACATCCACACTAGTCGACGCTGGATGACCTCTCCTTCGCATTTATTCGTTGTAAATTATAAATATAGGTCAATGTGACATTAATAATATTTTTTGTTCGTACTAAATGTAATAGTAAAAAATAGTCTTAGTGTCTTATAGCCAACCCTTTAGTGAAAGATGTGCTAGAGCAACAATTTTCCATTTTGCTGTTCTTGGACAGTGTGATCTCATTACCCATTAAAATATTATTATTTTTTGGGTGTCCTAGTATTGGTATACAAGTTAGCAAGCGAGTCTTCATAAAGTTACTCCATACTATGGTTTTGGCCACTGCTTCCAACTTTAGGCTTATATATACCACTCAGTGTGCTACATGGTACATACTGTGTAAGTGAAATAAAGGGTTCCGAGATCCTATTTTATGAGCCTTTTTTATCACAGATTCCTGCACTTTGGAATTGGGATAAAGCAGGTGCCAGATGAATAGAAATCGATGCCTAATACACATAAGAAACCATAGATAAATAATACCAGACACAGAACATTCCCATTGAATTGACACCACGAAATAATAAGAATTTCAGTTTGATCCCATGGGTATAACAGTACAAACATCTGATTGAATTATTGCCTAAGGCTTTAAGATGGTAACACTGATCCTACACAATCTTGGGTAACCACCTCACGTATTTTATACATGGTTGTTTGATGTTCTTGCTGATTAAACTTGATTTTAACAAATTTTTTGTGATCTCAGACATTCTGAATGTTTCATGTATGCACAAGATGCATCTCATTGTGCAGTATGTTTTTGGAATTCACACGAAACAGTTAAACTAGTGCGGGAAACTGGAAAAGTTATTGGGTTCCAAGGCTCCGAGCAGGGAAAAGTTCTTGATTTAGGACTCTTTGTTAAAAGATGGAATAAATGGCACACCATGCTGGGTTTCTCTTACTCACTTTCGCTGGGGTTGAGATTTCTCTATACGTCTTGGGTTGTTTCACTAACCTTGCTAACTGCAATAGCTACTGGGATTAGGGAGTCAACAGTATCTATTGTAATTTTGAATTTAATACATCAAATCTGCAGTGGATTGATTGTATCCTTGAGAGATTTTTCCTTGGATATACAACCATGTACACCACATAATACTGGAAAAGAATGTTTATCTTGTCAAGAAAAATATGGAACAATTAGGGCACTGCAGTATTTGTGAATAATAATGTATAGGTCTTCAACTTTGAGGTTGCCGTATTATTTCCCTTAGCCACCTGTTTGGGGATAATATGAGATACATTTGCCTTGGACTTTGGATGTACCAAACCTTATATGGTAAAATGTGGTGCAGTTGGTCAATACTCAATACTTACTGCTCCCTCCGTCCTAGAATATAAGGATTTTTAGGGTTGGACACGGGTATTAAGAAAGTAGGTAGAATTAAATAGAAGAAGGTTGTGATTGGTTGAGAAGTGGAGGTAGGTGAGAAAATTGAATGGTGGAGGATTGTGATTGGTTGAGAAGAGAATGTTGGTGAAGAAGTTGTTATATTTTGGGACGGAGGGAGTACTCTCTAATCTACATCACCCTTTGTTCTTTAATCAATGAAAGATTCTCAGTATGGAGTCTAGTACGCTACTGAAGGACACCATGATCTCAACTAGGGCTAAAATTTACAAGGTTAGTTAGAAGATTGCCATGACTAACTTCCCATAGCCTTTCTAACTTTTGAAGTGAGCAACATTAGACATCTCACACACATGAAGTTCATTTTTCTCTTGTTTTTTTTTAAAATTCAATCTAGGAACTGATAACTGTCATATGACAATTTCTGATAAGTACTGTAAAAGCACCAAAAGTTCCATTTTAAAAAATAATTATTGCTAGCAACTAGCTGGGAGCAAGTTATCTAGTTCCATTCCAAAATCATGATTGTTGACCACAATTTTTTTATGGAGCAATAGTGAGTTTGTTAAATTGCCACTTTCAGTTACCAGAATGACTTTGGAGGTTCTAGTTCTAAGAAAACATGGGAAATAATTGCATGAGCTGATTTGTTGTATGAAGTTTGAACTTGCTTTACCTATATATAGCACTGTTGACTTAACGATGCTATTGCACTTAGTTTTTATCCATAATAGATGCTGGCCAGAAGTTACAGTCTTCTATTGCGTAAATCTGTTTACTACTGCAGAATGCTAATATATATGTTCAATTTTGATGCTTTGTTATTTCTGGAAGATGAAATCAATATCATATGCTCATGAAAAGTACATATTCACTTCACGTCGTACCACTTACTTCTATGCAATAGCTTTAGTGACCTTTGGGTGCATCTTATCTAACTTATTCTTTAACTTGCAGCTCTATATGCCCAGATGTACAGGCTTGACTGCTGAAGGTGTGGTGAAGATTGTCCAGGTTCTTTATGAATGCAAGGGGAATCTAAACCGCATTCGACTCCATGGTATTTGCAGGATGACTAAGCATCATCTTGATGCTATCAGTTCTGCCATGTGCAAGGGTAACCAACAAGAAGATGATCAATCACTTTTCTATAGCCACAGAGTCCATGAAGTGCTCAACACCAACGATGAACGCCGTATTGATGTTGATGTGTGCCCTATGTGCACAAATGTGAGGCTGGTGTTTGATTGTACAAGGGATGGCTGTAGGTTTGTACCTTCTGATCTTTTGAACTCTTATTTGCTCTTTGCTTCGAAAATTTCCCTTCAAATTTGTTGAAAGTTTGCCACTGTTTTTCTTATTTGCTTATTGACAACTCATCTTTGCTATATGGTCACAATATTCAGTGCCTTTAGATATTTGATAGTGTTGTCTCCTGTGGTTGTGGAATAGCTGACATAGGGATCTCATCTTTCCTGGAAAGCTTTTAAGTGATGGTCCAGAAACTCATTTATTCTCTCCCCTATGGGCTACAGGAAAGCAACTGCACAATTAATTTTTATTTGGTTGCTCTCGTCTTTGGAACAACTGGTTCAATATGTTAAATATTCTTCAGTATTTTTTCAGGTCTATTGACTTTGACCTGAACTTTGTTCGCATTTCTACAAAATAAGGTTTGATCTATTTTGATGATTTATTTATATTTCAGGAGAAAGGATAGTTGGGCTCAATGTCGAGGCTGCTTCTTCTGTGTTGCCCGATGCGAAACATGCGGTGGGTGCATCGACTTGGAGGAGCTCAGCGAGACTGAACTTGCATGCTCGGACTTCCTGTGCATGGAGTGCTGGCTTCCGCTCCCGAAATGTAGCACTTGCAATCGGCCCTACTGCAAGAGGCATGAAAATCTGAAGGTAGATTTATCACCATCTGGCCAGTTTACTTGTCATCGTTGCGTGGAATTTTCTAGTAACTCACGCGAGAACCTGGAAGAAAGTTCTTAGAGGTGAGTTCCTGCCCCTCTACAGGAAATACAAGTTGTCGAGTATACTTGGGTATGAAACTACTGTCTGTGTACCAGTACTTGCTGATGACTTTTACTTAAAGCGTCAAATGTACTAGACTAACTAACTGAGTGTACTGGAAATCTAGGATTCTGAATTATTTATTGATCACGTCAAATTTAGCGGGTGCAGACTTCATGGACTTGTGCAACTTGTCTGAAACTCTGAATAACACTGAAACAGTCCATTGCCCTCAAGTCCCATATGCCTATGGAATGTGTTTAACCTTCCAGGCTTCCAGCTCAGAATGTGCTCAGCATGACAGACTGAAGGACACCGTTATTAACCGCCATTTGTCATTTTGGAGCGTGCTGTACTCTGTCTGGCTGCCATTTGCGCCTATAATTTCAGAATTCAAATGATACTCCTGCAAGAAATGCTACTCGACTGGAATACCTTCCATCATCTGTTCATCTTTTACAGGAAGAAGATACCTGTCCCTGTACTATTTCGAATCCGAGTCTAAATTTGAGTAGTCAATTGAGGGTTTAGATCATGTTTTGCGATAAACTTGTACAATATTGAAATACTCGACAGTTGATAGCACTTTGCTTTCCAAAATTTGTTCCGTAGTCTATATCAGTATTTTGGTCCCTCATTATCTTGGTCGAGAGAGGGTCACTAACAAAATAACCAAAATGTACCTTTTCTAATGCGATTGTTTTTAACTGCACATCCATCTTCTTTTCCGCTTCTTTACCGAATTATTGTCATGAATTGTTTACTCCGTGCTTCAAAAAACAAATTTTCTTTTTTTTTTAAAAAAAGAAACTTTCTTCTACTGCGTTGCTTGGACTACTTGTTTTAAAGTTATTAGATAAGTTTATTTCTCAAAATATGTAATTTATTCTTACAACTAAACAGATTACTGTCACGATAATTCGATGAATAATCTGTTTCAAATGCTAAAGCAGATCAGCGGCACCTACTGAATAATCCCGTGTCCATCCCTACTTTTTTTTAGACACAATTTCTCCATCTCCCTCGAGGGGAGCAAGCCAGCAAGATCTGAAAAAGGGTTTTAATAAAAGCATAAACAATTACTTCAAGTTCATGCGTCTCCATTTGCTATTTGAGCAACCATTTTCAGGAGGGAATCCAATAGTTGGCACGGTGAAGTCAGAGTCTAGCTTTACCAAATTGAGATATCGCACTCTCGAGCGAGTCCCTCCATTTTAGACCACACCTAATAACATCAAGATCATGAATCCTCCCAGATGTGAACCTGGAATACTGGAAACACGTGTATTTCGTGCACAATGAGCAAAGTTAGTTTTACATCCAGAAACCTGTTTCGCGGCGATCATTTCACAATGATGTTTCGCTGAGATTTTTTTTATATAATGGATAAAAATCCGGTCTCTATATCCACAAGTGTATATACAACCAAACATTTCAGAAAAATATTATTTTACTATAATATTCTATAGCAATAGTCAAGATTCCTTTGGAATATAGGAATTTTACAGGACTTGAGGTATGTTCCTTTTCTCTTACAGATAATAAATTATCACATTCATGTTTTCAAAGCACCTAAATGGTACGTTTTTTTTTGGTAAAAAGCTTCCTATTTCTATATATAAGTTTCTTGTAATACATCTTTAGATCAACTTTTAAATTTTGTATAACTAATTTATTCACATGAAACACAAGAATTTTACAAGGGCCTTCTTCTTTTCCTCTTATAGATTACAGGTTATCACAGTCATGCTTTCTAAGCTGTGATTTTTGCAAACGGTTTCTACATATATAAGTTCCTTAGAATACTTTTTAAAATATTTTTTTAACTTTATAATAGTTACTTCATTCGCTTGAACCCTAGAATATTATTTTAGAAAGAAAATCAAATAATCCATCATCTATTTATCCATTTAGAACAACAGAACTAGGCCTAATTAGTTCAGTTCCTATAAAAATACTCTGAAATTTCTACATTCCTCTGAGTGATGAAACAGGTGGCAGCAGCAGATTGGTCCTCCAAAATTTCGACATGTGAAAAAGGAACCTTGCTACTACACCCTTCACCAGTGAGTTCCAAGGCAAGGCATCACTGATCAGTAGTTGTGCTGTTCCCATCTAGTCCCCTGCTTCTTGCCATGAACTCAAGTGAAGGGCACCTCCTTTTTCCCCTACACACAAAATAAATAAATAAATCAGTGCTACTAAATCACAAGCTGGAACTTTTTTTCCTTTTTTTTTTCGCGTCGGTGACCGTCTTCAGGTACACTATAACTAACCACCAAAATCCATGACATTTACATGAGCACTAACACCCCCCGGAGCACACGCGTCATGGGAGACAGGATTTGCAGAGAGCAACAGCCCAAGAAAAGGGGCATGAGCTTTGTGAAAATTGTGACTCTGGGTGGCACATATGTCACTGCAAAACTTGTTGCATGAACAGGGTCAGAATGTGAGTTGGAGCAGGAGGAGGAAAATGTTGGTTGGGAGAACACAATCTTTGGACCACTAACAGTCTCTCCATCATGTATGGTGATCTGATCATCTCTTCCTTTGTGTGGAATTGAAGTGGATTCAGAAAGGGGAAAAAAAAAGAAAGAAAAGGAGCTGCCTTGCATGGCATGGCAATGGCACCTGGCCCTCCTCATCTTTCAGGGTTTCACATATCCCAATCAAAGGCTTAATAGCACATCTAATTGTCTAATGATAAAGGATGATGGGAGGCAAAAGTACATCCATGATGATGATAATAATAATAATCTCTGGTTTTTGTATAGTACCATGTTTTTCAGCTTTGAGTGGCGAAATTTGACCTCAGCGCGACACCGAGACGCGGTGTACTGATTGATGGCTTGTTCTAGCTAGCTGAAGTCAGAGGGTGCCCTTTTCTTTTTTTTGAACTGCAGTCAGATGATGCTTTTGATTGTCTGAAAGGATACTTAGTGTTGGTGCCAAACTGCCCAATCAAGATATGCCAGGGAAAAGAAATGATGAAGTGCACTACTTTACCCTAAATTGACTTGGGAATTCAAATTAAGCATGCAGTTCTTCAGTCAACCTATGAAGTGATCATTCATGTTCGAGAAAAAAATTTGTAAAAAATAAGAGTGTTTTTACGATGGTCTCTACCAGCAGTATTCTACGACTAGTACAGATCACAATAAAAATTGTCAAAATATAAACGGGTCTTTTTGTTTACTGAAGAAGATGTAGTTGATCATTCCGACCTTGTGTCCTGACCGGCCTGAAGTGAAGTCTTGATGGATACTGTTAAGTTGGTCGATCAGTTAAAATGAAGGTCATCTAGTACAACAAAATAATGGCTTTCATTGCCAATCAATCTATTGCTGGCACTACTACAATTCAGAACACAATTTTACCACTCAAATTACTTTTTACTCACTATTCATTTCATTTAAACCTATAAAAATTTAGTCGAATATCCTCCACCGTCATCGTGTCGCGATCCGCAATCTCTCTGTATGGATAGAAGGAAGAATGTTTTGGATCTTAGCTCACAGACTTTTGTGGGCAATTTCATCCCTGTGATATCATGGGAAGTTTCATATGTTGACAAGGGAGAGTGAGCAGTGTTGACCTCAATGATCATTCAACATTTCCTGCCTGCTGGAAGCCAAAATCTTGTCCAACAAGCCGTACTCCATACTGCGGCTACATATACCTCTGAAATTGCTGATCAAATCTTCAAAAAAAATTGCAAGTTCTACACGCGCTTGCTCGATCCGTCGCGGCCCCATAATTTTTCACCGGAAAAAAAATGGATGAAAATTTTTAACCATGGTAGGACAATAAGGACCCCTTTGCAAGTCATATCTGAAGCTCTAGAACAGATGACTGAACATTTTACATGTTGTCAATTAATTAAGCTGGTCGGCAGCTTAATCGATTGATCTGAGGATAATTAATCTTGTCAATAACTGTTTTCACCTAAAAACAGGTAGTAGAATTCTCTGATCTCACCTAAAATCCATCCAGGGCAAAAGGTAGACCAGAGGATAATTTTGTCAGAACATGAGATGAAAGTAAAGGGAGAAGAAAAGAAAGCATGGAAACTTTGTAGTGCAGCACTTGCAATTGCAAAGCAAGCAAAAGGGACCCAAGAGCAGAAGCTCATGCTTCATGGTGGCACGTAGGCCACCCTCACAGCCTTCACTGCCGACGCCCGGCCCGGGCCCACCGCGCAGCCTCACCGGCCTCGGACACGTGTACATAGAGCTAGTAAGCAAAATAAAAAATAAAAAATAAAAAAATAAAGAGAGATAGAAGCTTGAACTACACATCAGTACATCACACACAGAGAGACCCTTGGTGCTTACTACACATCAGTAGTTAGCTACTGGCTGGTTTGTTTTGTCTCCTCTTCTTGCCTCCCCCTTATAAAGGAAGGTGAGCATTGCATCTTGCTCCTTAGTACTCCTCCTCCTGCATCATCATCCCAATCCTCAATTCAGAATTCAGAACTGCCATTTGCTACCTTACATACCATACCTAGCTGAATTGCTGTCAGTTAATCTCTTGATCAGATCGATCACCCTGCAGCTTCTTGTTGTTTCTAGCATTTCTGGTGAAGAAACCAAATCTTCAGCAGCTTAAGGTAGGAGATCATCAATGGGGAGGCAGCCGTGCTGCGACAAGGTGGGGCTGAAGAAGGGGCCATGGACGGCGGAGGAGGACCAGAAGCTCATCACCTTCCTCCTCACCAACGGCCAGTGCTGCTGGCGCGCCGTCCCCAAGCTCGCCGGTGCGTCGATCGAGATCCTCGTGTCGCAGTACTACTTTATGTGTGTTTTGGCTATGTGCATCCTACGATCGAGGCCGAAAGTTTATATACTTTCATTGTCTGAAAAAGGGTATGTTTGTAATAAAATTATAGGGCTTCTCCGGTGCGGGAAGAGCTGCAGGCTACGGTGGACGAACTACCTCCGGCCGGATCTCAAGAGGGGGCTGCTCTCCGACGCCGAGGAGAAGATCGTCGTCGACCTACATGCCCAATTGGGCAATAGGTACGATAACATTGTCCTCGACACGTTGGGACAACATGCCTGAACGTATGATAAATTAGTTTTTTAATGTATATATAACCATTTTTATATACAAAACATGTTAGGTGGTCTAAGATTGCGTCTCATTTGCCTGGGAGGACGGACAACGAGATCAAGAACCACTGGAACACTCACATCAAGAAGAAGCTCAAGAAAATGGGGATCGATCCCCTCACCCACAGGCCCCTCCAGCCGCCGCCGTCGCCGTCGCCAGAGAAGAAGCACGCAGAGAGAAAGAACACGGCGGCGGCGGCGGCGGTGGCCGAGCAGCATCAGCACGACGAACTCTGGGAGGAGGAGTCCCCGGGATTCTGCACCGACGAGGTGCCGATGATCCACCCGGACGAGATCATGGTGCCATTGCGCGACCACCCGCCGCCGGTTTGCACGGCCGCCGGTGCCTCGACGCCGACGACATCGTCGTCGTCGTCGTCCTCGTCGGTGGCCTCCTCGACGACGAGCTGCGACGAGGTCGACGCCGCGGCGCTGCTCCCGGTCCTGGAGTGGCCCGACGACGCCATGTGCCTGATGGAGCTCGACGAGCTGATCGCCGCGGCGGCGCCGCCGTCCCTGCTGTGGGACGACGACTACCGCCTCCCGCTGCCGCCGCCGCCGCTATCGCCGCCGGCGATGTACGAGGAGCTAGACGCCTTTCAGTGCTACGACCAGCAGAGGAGCGCGTTTGAGCAGGAGGCAGCAGCTTCAGCGTGGAACAAGCTTGAGCTCTTCTAATCAATCAAAATTAAACTCTGTAAATTATGTTTACAGTGTTTATTATAATCAATAATTACCGAACTAAAACAGAACAGTGTTGTTTCATTGTTCTAGTATTGCCTCTCTGGTTAATTGTTCCATTGGAATTGCATTAGTGTAGTGATGTGAAATGATCAATGTTCTCAGTTATATATTGCAGAATTCGATCAGTTTATGTCAAAAAAAATCGATCACTTACTAGGCAACTTCAGTTTTTCTTTTTTTTTTAAAAAAATCAGATCGATGAAAATTGTCCCTGCATGTGTGGGGTAGTAATAATCCATGATATTATAATTTCATATCTAAATATGACCCTGTTTAGGGAAGCTTCTGCACCTTCTCCCAGAATCAGAAACTCCTCTAAACAGTCTAGTTTTTAGTCCAAATTCTGAGAAGCTGTAGTTGTAGAATCCAGGAAATGAACTACAAGCTAGAAGCTGGAAAACCCAGCTTTTCCATATTCTTGGAAGTTGCTACCAACCAGCTGCTTCTCAGAATTTTAAGTTCCCCAAACAGGCTTTATGTCCCTGTGGCTGATCTTTGTACTTTCTATAAAAAAAACAGAAAATTCAGCAAAGAGCCAATTTTTTTCTTAGAAAATAGGATATAAACCCGACCTCTACATCTAACCAGATGGACACAACCGAGCATAAAGAGCCCAATGAGAGTTATGGATTTACAGGAAAAAAAATGTTGTTTGCTTTGCTCTTTTTTTTAAGAGTAATTCTACGGTCTTTGAGGAGGTACCATGACTCCATGAGGTACCTCATAATATCTAGGTATCAAATTTACAATAGAAAAAATAATACCTCATGGTATCATTTCAAGGACTGTAAAATTGCTTTTTTTTTATGTCATGTGCACTTGCACGCGTGCATGCAGATGCCGTAATGCTAAAGGAAAATAAATTCAGGAGAGAAATTAAAGAATGAGACCTACGTATGAACAATTGAGAGGAGAGAGATAGATGCTGATGGTTGTAGCTAGATTCTAAGAAGATCCTACTAGCTACCAAACTCTCCTTGAGTGCAGTGTGCTTTGTACTTCACTTCATTCATATCCCAGGTGCAAAAGGACAATAATCAAGTCGCTGGATCTAAAGTACTCCCATGGGATAAAGTTGTGTGTTATGTGAGTTAAACATAATTTTGTACTTTACTATATTCTAAATCTTATTTATTTAGACGTGTGCTATAAATGTACTCCCTCCATATAAAAAAACAACCTAAAATAATATGAGATATAATCTAGTATAACAAACAGATCCATGTCCATATTTGTTGTACTAGATTATGTCATATCTTATATTAGATTGAGTTATTAGCGGTTTAAAAGTTAATACTAAGAACAAACTAAGGGATAAAAATAACTCGATCGAATGTTAACTCTAAATTTAGATTTTAATTTTGAATTCCATGGCGGCTAATAAGATAATAAGTAAACAATTGGAAGCGCAAGTAGATTCAAACTTTCTCTCCCATGATTTTACAAATTTCACTAAGGTTATTGTGATTTCAATAGATTTTGAACACGACTTATCACTAGTGATCTTCCTATAAGATAAATTTTAGTGTTCCTGACGGTTAGAGCATATATGATAGTTGTAGAAATATTAGGATAAGATTAATTTGTTTAGAACCATTTCTTATTGCTAATCCTTTCATATCTCTACTCATATAATCTTTATACATATATCATCCCGAGAGGCCGAGACCCAATACAATCATTCAGTTACATACTATATTTCTCTTCCTATATATTTATCATTGCTTCTTCGATCGACTACGGATATATATACCCATAGTGGAAGAAGCAGTGATGAATATAGGGAGAATAGCTACTTTAGTCCCTAAAGTTTCTCTGTAAAATCAGTTTAGACCCTAACCTTTTAAATGGTCCAAAGAAATCCTTAACCTTTTTCATAAGGCCTAGAATATTCGTTGGGTCCACCAAAATCATCATATGGATATGCCATGTCATCATTCATGCAAAATCAATAATGAATTGTCCAATTTACCCTTACGTATATCATAGAAAAATAAATATAAGGGTGAATTAGATATAACCATAGGAAAAAAATACTTCTTTTTTTCACCCTTTTGAGGTATATTTTTGCTCTTACAAATACCATATATTTTTTAACTTTTTCCTTTTGTTTTTTACTTTCCTGTGCGTAAGGGTAAATTGGACAAATCATATAGATTTTGCATAAGAAGGTGACATGGCAGGTCCATGTGGCGATTTTGGTGGGACCAAGGACTATATTAGCCCACATGACAAATTTAAAGGACTTGTTTGGACAATATAAAAGATTAAGGACTAAACTAATCTAGGAGCGAAACTTTAGGGATCATATTAACTATTCTCCAATGAAATATATATATATATATATATATATATATATATATATATATATATATGTATGTATCCAGCGTGCGTGTAACAGCACAGTGGAATACATATCCAACGCGAAAGAAGGAAAGCAGAAATAGTTTCTCTAGAAAAAACATAAATAATATAATACTAAGATCATCCATGACGCATGATGATCATCCTTAGCCGGACACACGCTCACGGCTCACATCAGCTTCTTTCTACGTACAATGGGAGAGAACGAAAGTCGCATCCATATGCAAACCAGCTAGTATCTCTTTGCTCAAATCCAAAATTTGCATGATTGGCGCATACAAATTCAACTGCTCTTCTTATTTTTTATTAATTAATTAGCTTGAATGCGGCTTGTCAATCCTCGTCATTTCACTTAATAACATTATTAACCGAGAGGTTCTGTATACTCGCTCGATATAAAAATATAATAACTTCTAACTCTTAAAAATTAATATGTCTTAAAGTCGATTTCTTCACTACCTTCCACATCTTAATCTATCACAATAATTATTTTTTAATCATAGATATGTCCACTTCCCAAAAAAAAGATTATAGATATGACCACTACCTAGTGACTAGTTGGTTAATTAGGTTATGAAAAATTACATATATATGTTTGTTTGAGCTACATATAACCAATTTTAAATTTAGAATTTAATTTTTAAGACTAGCATAGGGATTCTTAAGGCGTTTTAATCATTCAGCTTTGACTTCCATACCACTTATATAAGTAAAAGTACAAAAATCAACATTAAAATTATTTTCCGTTACATCAGTCGTCGCGGGTCTTTTAACTTATAAACCATGAATAAAAAAATATCTTCCTTGAGTCCGAATAAAAAGAATATATCTTCCATATAGGCCATCTGTAAGGAATTTTTCTCTGTTATATTTGTAGCTAGTCAAAGTAGCATATTGTGCATGCATATCGTGGCAGCTCTCTACCACTACGACAGAAACAGTTTTTCCATGCGAGAGACCCAGTAGGTAGCAGGCGGGTCGACTGTCTCTTCTTTTTATATATAGAGATAATTAATTAACTAACTATGCTCTATTTTTGAAAATATTTATTAATTAAGTTATTTTATTATATTTACTAACATGTGGCGTGTCAAATGATGTGTGGACGTGCGGCCTCAATGGTACGAGGTGTATGTGCAACACACGTGCTAGCTAGACCATATGCTTTGCATGCGGCGGCGAGTTAATTCACATAATTTAATATGTGTTGGAGGATTATTTCACTAGCTTTGCTTTTTCCTAAGACAAACAAACATATGTATGTATCTTTTACCATCAGTTTTTAAAAAATTATATAGTTTAATATCATATTCACCATCTTAAATAAGTTTTATAATATATAATTTATACGTTGTTAAACTACATGATTTTTTTTAAAATAAGTTTGACTTGAGAAAAAAGAGGGAGTCCAGTAAACGCTAATTACCGCTTAATGTTCTCATGTTCCAAAGCTAGCCCTAATTAAGAATTAAATTTAAGGGTATTGTGCTGCTTAATTACTATAATTAGCTAGCTTGGGATATGTCTAGCTATATGCTATTAATAAGACAGCTAGTTATTCATAGGTAGTGAAGACATAATATTTGACTTCTTGTTTTATGCATAGATAATATTTTTATCATACAAAACCTTGATCAGTGTACGTGTTTTCCACGCGTATTCTTCGCACTCTAATGTGCATGTGTTGGTCGATATTTTTTTTTTCCAAAATGGATATTTGGTGTGGAATAAATGAGCATCAGGTGTAGAATATCTACACATGCGTCTAATAGTCTGTTGAAGTGCGCGGTCACTCTTCAAACGTAAAAATGATATACCATTTTTTTAGAGAAATATATGCCGCTTTGACAACGACTATAAATTAGTATAATATATTTTGAAAAGTTAGAGAGGTTTGTTATGGAATTAATATTTGAGAACATTTTTCTTTCACCAATCCTTGCATCCATAATTCGCTTGTGGTATGAAAATTTTACACTTCTCTCTTTTGGCACTATTCCGTTAGTACTTCCTCTGTTTTGTCATTATCTAGTCCAATCTAGTAGTTGTTGATCATTATGTACTTGGGGGACATTCAAATTAATCTATTTATCCAAAATAAATATTTAATCTGTCCATGTATATTAATTATCAGGAATTCTTGTTTAGCATTATTAATTTGCTTGCGGAAAATGAAGAATATAGGGTAGGTTTAATTTGGTGCCAAAATGAACCTTACCAAAATTTGGCAATGGCAAAAATTTTAGTAAATTGATAACATTGCCAAAATTTTGGTAGGATTGGCTTAATAATGTTGCCAAAATTCCATACACATTGCCAATATTTGGTAACAAACTAAATGTAGCCACATAATTATTAATTTTACCAAATAATAGTATGGTTAAAAATGTCATCAATTTGAACAGACTCGTACTATAGCAAAATTTGCTGCTTTCGCTCTACTTCAGTACTCCATCCGTTTCTAAATGTTTGACACCGTTGACTTTTTAGCACATGTTTGACCATTCGTCTTATTTAAAAATTTTGTGAAATATGTAAAACTATATGTATACATGAAAGTATATTTAACAATGAATCAAACGATAGATAAAGAATTAATAATTACTTATTTTTTTAAATAAGACGAATAGTCAAACATATTTAAAAAAGACAACGGCGTAAAATATTTAGAAACGGATGGAGAATTTGATTAAGTGGACTACAAGCGTAATTAATGGATATTGAATTCTGGTACTAATGGTCATTTCATTGGAGAAAAAGAAAAGAAACTGAGGGAGG